CAAAACAGTGAGGCAAAAACATAGATGAATTTTTCTATGTAAAAATGAAGGAAACATTGGCAAAGTTATCAGGTGGATGAGAGATATTAACAGGGTCCAAACTGGTAAGGGATTAATATTTAAACAATACAAGGAACTTGTAACAAACAATAAAAAAGACCTTGACCCAGCAGACAAATAGGCAATAAACAAAAACATACTTGTTTCCCATTAGATCAAATTGTAAGATGTTAAAGGTTTGATAGGTCATTTACAAAGAGAAACCCCAGTGACTAATGACTAGGTGAAGGGATGGATATTCAACTTTATTGGGAATCTAAAAGATGCAAAATAAAATGAGGTCTCACTTTTGAAACATTCCATTTAGCACAGATGAAGAAGCTAGATGGTACCAGTGCTGGTGAGAGTATGGCTAAATCCAGCTTTCTCATATATGTAGTGGAATTGTAGGCTGGTGCAGTCATTCTGGAGGGCAACCTGATCGTTCTGGGTAGAGTATATGCCTGGGATTTAGCACTCCAACTTCTGTTATATACCCACCAAGAAACTTATGAAAAGTCAATAAGCGAATTTACAAAGATTCGGGGTTTTTTTTGTTTTTTGTGTTTTTTTTGAGACAGAGTCTCACCCTGACACCCAGGCTGGAATGCAGTTCAGTGGTGCAATTTTGGCTCACTGCAATCTCTGCCTCCTGTTCAAGCAATTCTCCTGCCTCAGCCTCCCTAGCAGCTGGGACTACAGGCACACACCACCACGCCTGGCTAATTTTTTGTATTTTTAGTAGAGATGGGGTTTTGCCATGTTGGCCAGGCTGGTCGTGAACTCCTGGCCTCAAGTGATCCACCCACCTCAGCCTCCCAAAGTGCTGGGATTACAGGCTTGAGCCACCGCGCCCAGCCCAAGATTTTGAAATAGAATTAGGGCCAGCCATTCTGCTATAGTAATGGATATTATGTAAAATGTGGCTGCATGCTAGGAAGTACTACACAATCAACAGGATAACTTACTAGAGCTACACACTGCAGAAGAAATACACCTTAATAAAAGCATTGTAAGCAAAAAAAAAGGTCTATGGTATAAATCGATTTATTTAAACACACAAACAGGATTTGTTTTTCTACATATCCAAAATTACCAGAATGGGTCCCTATGAGGGCAATGGCAGGAATGGGTAGTCTGGAGATGAAGGAGAGCATGTAATAGTGGTGGATAAGATAAAACGCCGAAAGCATTTACTGGGGCTGTGAGAAGCATATGGCACAATACACATAAAGGGACCTTCAAAAATATAAATTGTGTTGGGAGGCCAAGGTGGGCGGATCACGAGGTCAGGAGATCAAGACCATCCTGGCTAACATGGTGAAAGCCCGTCTCTACTAAAAATACAAAAACAAAATTAGCCAGGTGTGGAGTCGGGCGCCTGTAGTCCCAGCTACTGGGGAGGCTGAGGCGGGAGAAAGGCATGAGCCTGGGAGGCTGAGCTTGCGGTGAGCGGAGATTGCGCCACTGCACTCCAGCCTGGGTGCCAGAGCGAGACTCCGTCTCAAAAACAAACAAACAAACAAAAATATATATGTACACACACACACAAATTGTTATGTACTCAGAATGTACTGTATTGACAATCTTTATGGTAAAAAAGAATTATTGACTAAGAAACTGCTTTGGTTTATATAAAGACTGAACAGATTTTGCTTGGTCTTATTCAAAGAAAGGGATTTCAAGATAAATCAGGCAACATATAATGGCCTGAACATGAAAACATTTTTATTTTGAACTCAGCATGAAACTTGGAGGATTGCTTTTCAAACCTTTAAAATCTTATGCTTTGATCAAATGAAAAACAAATGTGTATTCTTCATTTAAAGAACAGACTAGCATAAAATAAATAAGGCATTAGAAAATTTCATCATGTGTTTCTAGTTTGTTTTTTCTTTAGTTCAAAGACTGGACTCAGATTAAACAGACAACAGTGAATAACTTTTGAACCTGCAACTGCACATTCAACTTAATGGTATGTTCAGATTTGTTTGATAAGCTAATAGACTGATCAGGATAAATAAAACAATTTGTGTTGACAGCATTAGCTCTATAACCATTCAATACATCTCTTTAGAACTGAAGTTCATAGGCATTTGGATTTTCTGGGAGCACTGGCTGCCTCCATTGCTTAATTAATATTGCATTTCTCAAAGCCGTTCTGTTTTTCAAGCTACTGATATCTTTTAACTATTACTTATAAATAGAAAATAGCTTATATTTTCAAGATAGCTCTTACCATGATCCTTCGATTTTCTTGGGTGACCGAATACTCCCAATGCTTCCTCCATTTGGCAGGGTCATGGTGAAAGGGGCAGCATATCCAATTTTTTCATCCGTCTGGATGCAGTAGAACTCAACTGGCTTATAATAATACTACCATGTCAACGGCATGCCCTTACCTTATTAACACTTACATGGTGTGGTAAGGGACTACTGGTCGTTTTATGTACATCTTTGAGTTGACCCTTTCCCCAATAGTATTAGATATTTCTTTCTTTTTTAAATGCAAACACCAACTTGAACCAGATAAATATTTCTTTTAATCTGTAAAAGAACCAGCACAGTTCATAAGAGAAAAAACACAGATGATCCATATGAAAAAATCAAACTCTTACAGAACTGTAAGATTGATGCCACTTTCACTTACAAATATGAATCTTCTCCATCAAAGGTTTTTTTTTTCCTTTAAGAGATGATTGGTGGTCTGTGATTTTTCTGAAAATATTGGCCCTGTTCTACTGTCTTGAAACTTAAATTTACATCCACGAAAACATCTCTACCTCTTAACGTTTTCGTTTACTGCTTTTTTTTGTTTTTGAGACAGGGTCTCTGTCACCAAGGCTGGAGTGCAGTGGCAAGCACCACCATGCCCGGCTGATTTTTCTATTTTTTGTAGAGATGGGGTTTTTACCATGTTGCCCAGGCTGGTGTTTACTGCTTTTTGAAGTCTAGAAGAAACTCTTAAGAAATCCTGTCTTTTGTGAAGCAGTATCTGAGATTCAGCAATTTCTTCATTTTTGTGCACAATTTTCTTCTGTTTAAATTTAAATAAAAATAAACACTTTTTATGAAAAGTTCTGTTTGCAGGTGGACAAATGGGTGCTTATAAATTTGGTTATAATATGACTTGGTATAAATGTTCTGAAAAATTATTTGGTAATATGTGTCAAGACCATGTGTTCATAGAGTAACCTAATTATTACATTTCCAGATACTTCTCTATACAGAATTCCATGAAGAAATAACCAGATATGTGAAAAAAAAATTTATGTTGACATATGTTAGTCATGGCATTAGAGATAATAATAAAAAATGGGAAGAATCTAAATGTCCAATAACAGGGCAGATGTATTTTGGGTAATTCATATGTATCAAAAATGTATAACTTATGAATTGACATGTATCACATATTCGTATATTCTATATATTTTTTAATTTTAGAGACAGGGTCTCTCCCAGTTGTCTAGGCTGAAATGCAGTGGTAGTGCGATCGTAGCTCATGTAACCTTGAATTCCTGGGCTCAAGCGATCCTTCCGCTTCAGTTGCATAGCTGGGAATGCAGGCGTGTACCACTATGCCCAGATAAGTTATTTTTACAGAGACAGGGTCTCGCTATGTTGCCCAGGCTGGTCTTGAACTCCTGGCCTCAAGCAATTTTTCTGCCTCAGTCTCCCAAAGGTCTGGGATTACAGTTGTGAACCACTGTGTCCGGCCATCATAAATAATATTAATTTATACTGATTCGCTCTCTAGCCATTAATAGAAATCAGGGTTTCATGGAATGTTTATGATACAATATGAAATGAAAAAGCAGTACACAAAACTGTACAAATAATAGCCCAATTTTGAAATACAAACACAGAAGACTTTTAAGTGTTTTGAGTTATTATTTGGCAACATAAGTCTCCTTTATTTACCTTTCAAATTTGCAGTTGTCAAGAATTCCTTTCCTTTTTGCTGATTCAGCAGATTGTAACTTGCTGAGCAAGTCACTGGGCTAGGTACTATAGTACCTCCTTCCATTTGTAATGGAAATTTCAGCTTTAAAGTGCTTTCATACATATATGTTCTTACGGCGCAAGCAAAATCCTATGAGGGAGACAAGTATTGATTTTCCCATTTGACAAATGAGGAAATAAGTCTTCAGAGAAACTGGACCAGTTGTCTTGGCATAATCACATGACTCGTAAGTACAGAGTGGGGACCGGAGATTTAGCCTAGTGCTGTTTTCTTTATGCTTTTAAACTTACCTGTTTTATGGGTGGTCTACAAAGAGTCACCATGTGGCACAACTCCACGGAGCCCCATTTGTAGTATCCTAAGGGGATGGAATCCCTTAGGGTTGAACACTGTGATCATCCATAGTGCATAATGTGGGCACCTTGCCCGTGTGGCACTTCCGTGTATGCCTGCTGGTTTTCATCTACCAGTGTCTGCATTTCTTTGCCTGCAGGCTTGCTCAGAAGCCAGCAAAGGCTGCTTTGTCTATTGTACGCGCTAGGGAACTACTACCATTATCCCAGAGTGGTCTTCCAACCAAAGTCCTGGCCCCTCAGCTGGGATAAGGCTGAATTGTTTGTTCTAGTTTTTCCTACACTGTTTCTCAGCATTTTGCAACAGGAATTAGGCTTTGGCAGCCTATGCTGTTACGCAGCTAGACGACACGCCCTTTACTGGCACCTTCTCTTCTACTCCCCATCTTTGCCACTCCACTATCCCTATTGCCTACACCTCTCAAATAAACCACCTGTCCTGGAATCTTCGTTTCAGGAAAATACAAACAAAAATGCCATAAATGACAGCCTGTGCTTAAAGGCTAATTGGGTACCTGAAATGTGTAGCTGGTGTAATAAACAGAGAAATGTGCCAATTAATGTCGTTTTCGGACATAGAGAACAAAGTCTGATGATAAAAGGCACATTACCTGTTACAACTTAGAAAACAGACAACTCTCACATCTGCTACTATATCAAGTTTTTATTGAGAAGTAAAGTGCTCAGTATTACACATTAATAACATTCTTGATTGTCGAGAAAGACCTGCATATGTAACATCTTTTTAATAATACCAGTACACAGGGAAAGATAATAGGGAAGAGATGAGGGGGGAATTCTCCATGACTAAAGAAGAAAAATATATGTAATTTATGGGTAGAAAGGTGGAATTCTGCGAAATTTTGCAAGTGAAATGAAAAACGGTATAATAAAAAGTATCATAAAAAGACTTTCTAGTGACCATAATTGATATATGGCACATGGTCGATACACATGGATACCACATAATAGCTGCACTTCAAATTGAAGTTTGTTTACATGTAACAACATGGTACATATACATAAATATGTACAGTCAATATCCCTGGAATGCAAACTTTAGTATGTAGTAATAAAGAACTTTGTGTAGCATATTCAAGAGAAAGTAAAGATAGAGATGAAGCCGTGAGGAAAAAACTTAACAGAAACCCAGTATGTTTCACTTTCAAACTGGAAAGGCCTATTTGCTCATGTTCTCATTGGAGATTGGACTGACATTCTACCAGTTAAATGAACAACTTGTGAATTTAAAATATAGCATTAAACGACAGGATTCTCTTGGTTCTCCAAGTGAGGGTTATTCAACAGCACTGCATGCTCTTTTGCTTATTAGCTCTCAAAATGTCACCTTACTCAACATTTCTGTAAAAGATTTTCTTTTTGAGAAATAGATTTCTCCCCATAAATTTGGGTGGACCCTCTCGTAAAGAAAACAGTGTTGCTAGCTCAAATTTTGGCTGATACTGTCTAATGTATGAACTTTCAATACCAAAACCTCTTTCTTATTAGATTGAGCTCCATTTGGATTATATATTCTAGTTTTGAAACACAGGATCAAGAATACTTGAGTACTGTATTTTTTATTTTTGCATTTTTTGTAGAGATGGGGTTTCACCACATTGCCCACGTTGGTCTTAAAGTCCTGGGCTCAAGTGATTCGCCTGCCTCGGCCTCCCAAAGGGCTGGGATTACAGGCGTGAGCCATCATACCTGACCGAGTACTATATTCTTAAAATAGTTTAAAACCAAATGCTTTATGGATTTCAAAAGTTTCTTAAGATTTTGCTTAAAATGAACATACTTGTTGAATTAAAACTTTCAGTGCATACTAAAAATTTAGTAACTTGTTCTTACTAGATTCGTTATAACATTAAATTCAGTTGCAAATGAGTAGAGCCACATGGGAAAAAGAACATGTAGATCAATCTTTATGCTAAACTAACCATTAAAAGAAATTAAACTTAGTGACAACTTAGGGCTCCCTCCAATTCTCCTGTGTTATGGTTAGAGATGCCATTTTATCCTATAACTGACCTTTGGTGGTTTTACTCAGCTTATTCAAATTAGAGCCAAAATAATGTAAAAATTAAGTGACACAGGTAGTCCCACAGACATCAGATATGATAAACTTACAAAAAAGCATAGTATTTAACATTCATCTTAACCATTCACACAGATTCTATCCTAATGACTACATACCCATTCAATGATTTGGAGTTCTGCTCCTTTTTATCTTTTAGAAAAGTTTACCCCAGGAAGGTAGTTGAAATAAAAGGCTCCTTTCTTAAAAGAAAACTATGTATTAAGCTCATGAACTATGCCAGAGTGGAAAGGAATGCCCCATTCTCCTTCACACAGAAAAAAATAACAATACTGATTTTTGTGACTGGAAATGAAACTCAGAAGCCCTTTGACAGTTTTCTAGCTTTAAAAGGCTACTTCATTGTCAACTGAGAAGACTCAGGCATGGTGGCAACTGGGCGTACCACTCAATACACTTCACGAAGATTTTTTTTCTGTACTCAATATTTACACCTAGATTTCTTATATGAGAAAAAGAAAAAAAACCTTTGAACCATGGGTAAAGTTTATATAAAATAAATTAAAGTGCAGAAGGTTAGCAATCGGTCACAAAGACTTGCATCCTGTGGTGGTCAGGGCATATAAATAGTGTGCTTGTTACAGCAACTCAGGACAGCCGCTTCCTCACTTATTAGAAACACACATACTAACACACACATATCATACGTGGACATTAGAACTCCCATTTCCACCTGCACCTTCCATGCCTTCGGTAGACTGGGAGGAAGACGGGCGGGAGCTTCTGGGGCGAGATTGACCATTTAGTCCCACTGGCGTGCCTAAACCATGACTGATCTGGGAAGCTGCATCATCGGATTCCCAGCGTTCCAACTCTTCACGCACTAGCCGTTCCATCTGTTCCCTGTGGATTTCACTGTCACGACCCAGCCTTTCATCCTAGAAAGGGAAAAAGAAACCAGGGTGTTGGGGGCAGTAGAAGGAAATGCGTTAGGAAGTCCAGGGACCAAATAATGTGCAGTTTGGTAAGGCTGGGGATTTACAGCATATAATAGCAAATCTCAGAGTTGCTGGAGTAATTTTTCATTTAATTCTACCCTGCAGTGAAGGCAGGACCATTAGCATATGGAGTATGAAGAAGGTAACACCTCCAGATTATAATTTAACCTGTAGTTATGAAGATAAACATCCCAGCGTAAGCGTTAGACAATAAGACTACCTTGATGTTTTACAGAAAGATATCTTATAGAAAGAGTGTTTCTGTTTCAGAGAGAAAAAAAATATCTGAAAATGAGAGTAAATGGAAACATCATTGTGAATTTCTATAAATGTCAATTTTTTTTTTACTCTTCTTTAATACTTCAAATACAACTGTCACCAACATATGTTTTCATTAATAACACCATGCTCAGCAGTGGTGTTTTCAGCTCATGACTACTGACCTCGGCCACCCCATCCAGCAGCCTTCCCAGCACCTCCCTCCTCTTCAGTTTGGCTCGCTCCATAATCTCCAGCTTCACGATCACGGCGTCGATCTTGGACACTATGCTGCCGATGGAATGCTCCATCCGGTCCACTCGTCTCACCAGGCTGCAAGGAAAACACAGTACAGAGGGACAAAGCGCTTGTCCTTCATTGTCTTTTCAGCCCCATTGGCTTTTCGAATGGAAGTGCTAAGATTTTTTTCTTAAGCAACACAATCATTTGAAACACTTTCTAAATTGTCTCAAGCTTTACAGATAAACTCTCGGATGCCGCTGGTGGAAGTATTAACTGGAACAACTTTCCTGCAAGTCAGTGCATATCAGAAGTCTTAAGAATGTACGCCTAACCCTTTATTTAGACATTCCATTTTTAGAACATTTTCTAAAGGAAAATTTTATAAGTTTATGTGTAATTTTTGGCTATAAAAGAGTGCTGCCTCTTAATAGCGGATCACTGAAAAATGGCTACATCAAACAACCAATGTGGGGGTGGGGCATGATGGCTCATGCCTGTAATCCTGGCACTGTGGGAGGCAGAAGTGGGCAGACTGCTTGAGGCCAGGAGTTTGAGCCAGCCTGGGCAGGATGGCAAAACTTCATCTCTAAAAATTCTAAAAAACAGGTGGGCATGGTGGCATGTGCCTGTACTCCCAGCTACCTGGGAGGCTGAGGTGGAAGGATCACCTGAGCCTTGGGAGGTTGAGGCTGCAGTGAGCTGTGATCATTCCACCGCACTCCTGCACTCCAGCCTGGGTGACAGAGTGAGACCCAATCTCAAAAGCAAAAACAAAAACAAACAAACACCCAACAACTGATAGGAAATTAAATAATCATTGTTCATCCATAAAATAAAATTCTAAGGAGAAATCAGACATCATACTGTGGCAGACTATGTAATGAAATAGAATTAGGTTCACAACATGTTAAATAAAGCTTGAAAAACAGTATGAAAACAGCATGTTCACTTATAATTCTATTATTTTGAACTTAAAAAATGTATACAAATACTTTCAAAAATTGTAAGCCGAAGACAACCTCTGCAATGGTGGCAAGAGGGCTCTGTAGACTCTCCCTTTAGTGGAACAACTGTAACTGTTGAAAATTATTTTTTAAAACTCAAATATTTAAAATTTCTAGAAACTTTTAAGGGCATACAGCAAATGAAAAAGCATTTATTCAAGAAAATCTACTAAATGTTAGTATGAAGAGATTCTGTGGCATTGAAGCCATAATCTGAGCCTTCTCTCCTGTCCCCAGCTCATGTGATAGAAGCACAACTTCACATGGGTGCAGCTAAGAGCACAGGGCTCCCTCCTCCCCCAGCTTCTAGTCCAGGGCTACAGTATCTCCCAGGGAGGGGCAGGCTGCCAGCATGTCTCATCCTAACATTTCCACTCTTTTTCTTTTTTTTTGAGACACCCAGGCTGGAGTGCAATGGCGCGATCTTGGCTCACTGCAACTTCTGCCTCGCAGGTTCAAGCGATTCTCCTGCCTCAGCCTCCTGAGTAGCTGGGACTACAGGTGTGCGCCACCATGCCCAGCTAATTTTTGTATTTTTTAAGTAGAGATGGGGTTTCACCAGGTTGGCCAGGTTGATCTCGAACTCCTGACTTCAAGCGATCCGCCTGCCTTGGTCTTCCAAAGTGCGCGTGAGCCACTGTGCCCAGCTTTCTCACTCTTGTTTAAAAAAAGTTTTTTAAAGCTTTTTTTCTTTAAATAGAGACAAAGTCTCACTATGTTGCCCAGGTTGGTCTTGAACTCCTAACGTCAAGTGATACCCCTGCCTTGGCATCCCATAGTGCTAGGAATAAAGGCATGAGCCACCATGCCCAGCCTCAATGTTCCTACTCTTTTTTTTTTTTTTTTTGAGACAGGTTTGCCCAGGCTGGAGTGCAATGGTGCAATCTTGACTCACTGCAACCTCTGCCTCCCAGGTTCAGGCAATTCTCCCACTTCAGTCTCCCAAGTAGCTGGGATTACAGGTATGCACAACTACATCCAGTTAATTTTTCTATTTCTTGTAGAGATGAGGGTCTCACCATGTTGCACAGGCTAGTCTGAACTCCTGGCTCAAGCAATCCTCCCGCCTTGACCTCCCAAAGTGCTAGGATTACAGGCGTGAGCCACTGTACCCAGCCTGCTCCCATTCTTAAATACATGTTGCAGAGGTTCTAATCCTGGTAAGAGTGGCTAAGAGGTATGGGGCTCTCTTCCACTCAGTTCCCACTTGTAAGGTAGAGTTTCCATGCCAGAAGAAGCAAGGTGAGAAAATCAGAGGCTGCCATCTGAGCCCACTGACTTGTTCATAAAGCAGGATGTCACAGAGAGGTGGGCCACTGTCCCTGGCTCTGTAAAGCAGTGGCACAGTTTTGCTCATGGGGAGACACAGGTCATAGGAATACAGAGCTGTCTTCAAGTGAACTGACTTTATTTGGAATAAAGTGTGAGGAAATTAAAGACTAAGGATGCTCTTGAAAACAATGGAGATTGTGTGGATAAGCATTTAGGAGGAATCTGGTAGCCTCATGAGATCAACAAGTTACCTGCTAGTTCACCGGAGAGAACCAGGGAAAGAGACAGCTAAGAAGATGGTTAAAGACTGGCCTCAGGGGCCAGGCATGGTGGTGCATGTCTGTAATCCCAGCCCTTTGTGAGGCTGAGGTGGGTGGATTGCTTGAACTCAGGAGTTTGAGACCAGCTGGGGCAACATGGTGAAACCCTGTCTCTATAAAAAATACAGAAATTAACCGGGCATGGTGGTGTGTAGTCCTCGCTACTTGAGAAGCTAAGGTGGGAAGATTTCTTGAGCCTGAGAGGTTGAGGCTGCAGTGAGCTGAGATTGCATCACTACATTCTAGCCTGGGCAACAGAGTGAGACTCTGTTTCAAAAACAAACAAACAAACAAACAAACAAACAAACATGACTGGCCTCGAAAACTAGCCCTGCAAAGAGGCCTGAATTTAAGTGGATCAGACTGTGGAGCAAATTATATCCTAAGGCATTTTTGAAAACAATAGACCAATCAGTAAACAATGAAATGTAATAACTGGGTCTAATACCCACAGAGGCAGAAGGTATAACAGAGAGGTCAGAGAAAGTCAATGAGTACCCTGCTAAAACCACTGTCTTCCCAGAGTGACTATGTACACAGCCACAGCTGCACCCTCTAAGGAATAATGTCAGAGGCAGACACTGTGGGGAAACAGACTGTATGAAAAAGTAAACAAGCAAACAGCAATAAAAACAAGTCCTGGGGAGAAATGGGAATCACTATACAGAGTTCCTACAATATATTATCTAACATGTCCAATCTTTAACAACAGCAACAAAACACACACACAACATACACACACACACAAAAACAGGAAAATGTTCCTATACACAAGAAAAAAAAAAAAAGACAACTGAAACTGTCTTTGAGAGGGCTCAGATGTAAGACTTAGCAGACAAAGACCTGAAGGTACCTATTATAAATATACTCAAAGAGATTGATACAAACAAATAATAAAAAACGCCATCATGGTTAAAGAAATAAAGCAGGCTGGGTTCAGCGGCTCATGCCTGTAATCCCAGAACTTTGGGAGGCTGAGCAGGGAGGATCACTTGAGCCTGGGAGCTTGAGACCAGCCTGGGCAACTTAGACCCCATCTCTACAAAAAATAAAAATTAGCTGGGTACAGTGGCTCATGCCTGTAGTCTCAGGTGCTTGGGAGGCTGAGGTGGGAGGGTTGCTTGAGCTCAGGAGTTCGAGGCTGCAGTGAGCTACGATCATGCCACTGCACTCTAGCCTGGGTGACAGAGAGAGACCCCATCTCTTAAAAAAAAAAGGAAGCTACGATAACATTGTCTCATCAAATACAGGATATCATCAAACACAGAATAAAAAGATAGAGATTGCTAAAAAGAACCAAATAGAAATTATGGAGTTGAAAAGTATAATAAATAAAAAATTCAGGCTAAGTGCAGTGGCTCATACCTATGATCCCAGCACTTTGGGAGGCCGAGGTGGGAGGATCACTTGAGGCCCGGAGTTTGAGACCAACCTGGACAACATAACAAGAGGCCATCTCTACAAATTTTTTTTTAAAAAATTAGCCAGGCATGGCAGCATGTGCCTGTAGTCCTAGCTACTTGGGAGGTTGAGGCAGGAGGATCATTTGAGCCCAGGTGTTCAGGCTGTAGACAGCCATGATGACACCACTGTACTCCAGCCTGGGTTATGGAGTGAGACCCTGTCTCTATAAATAAATAAATAAATAAATAAATAAATAAACAAATAAATAAATAACTAGAGGAGCTCAACAAAGATTTGAGCAAGCTGACAGAAGAACAAATCAGATAGATCAACACAGACTATGCAATCTGAAGAACAGACAGGGAAAAAAATGATCACAAATCAACAGAAATAAGAGAAATATGTGATACCCTTAAGCATAGGCATAATGGGGGTCCCAAAGGAGAAGAGAAAGTGAGAGAAGCAGAAAAAACACTTTCTAAGTAGGATGAACTCAGAGATTTATACCCAGACACATCAGTAAAAATACTGAAAGACAAAACCAAAAAAATCTTGAAAGCAGTGCGAGAAAATTGAGTCATCATGTACAAGGGGACCACAGTAAAATTAGCAGCTGTCTTCTCATCAGAAACAATACAGGTCAGAGGAAATGAAGGAGAAAGAAAAACATTCTCAGATAACAAAAATGAAAGAATTCATTGCTAGCAAACCTGCTTTACAAAAAATACTAAAGGAAATTCTTTAAGCTGAAAGCAAGTGACTCCAGATAGTAATCAGAATCCACAAGAAAAGACAAAGAACACTGGTAAAGATAATTGTGTAGGTGTAAAATATAGTATATATGTATATTTCTCCTTTTGTTCCTTAACCAATTTAAAAAGCAATTGTGTAAAAATATGTATGTAGTTGGATCTGAAGGTCTATAATAGAAATGTAATATCTTTGACAATAATAGGAGGTAGGCAGTAGAAAAGCTGTACTGGAGAAAGAGAATGACAACAGATGATAACTTGAATCCAGAGGAGCAAAAGAAGAGAATTAGAAATGGTAAAAAAGTAGGTTAATACACAAATTTAAAAATATATACTTTCTCTTCTCTCAGTTTCATTAAGAGAGATAAAACTATATACTATATATTATACAATGTGTTATAAAAATGTAATATTATTGTAACAATGTGATTTGCAACATATATAGATGACTATATACATATAGATAGATGAATATATAGCACAGAAAGAGGGAAGAGAAAAAAGCTAAATAGAAATGATATTTCTATATCTCACTGGATTCAGTTAATATATATCTGAAGTAATTTTTCATAAGTTAATTGTATAAATCAAGTCTTACAGCAACTCCTAAGAAAATGACTAAAAAAAAGTGAAAAATCATTAAAAGGATTTAAAGGAAAATATTCACTTAATGTACAAGAAAGCAATAAAAGAGGAACAAAAAAGACATAAGCTAGAAAACAAAAAATAAAATAGCAGACAGAAATCAACTAAATCAATGATAACATTAAATGAATGGATTAAGCAATCTAATCAAAAAACAGAAATTGTCAAAGTAGATAAAAAGATAAGATCCCATTATATGCTGTCTACAGGAGAGACATACTTTAGACTCAAAGATATAAATAAGTTTAAAGTAAAAGGCTGGAAAAGATTTATCACGCAAACAGCAACCAAAAGAAAGCTGGAGTGGCTATAGTAATATCAAACAAAAAATACCTTAAAACAAAGAATTTTACTAGAGATAAAGTGGATAACATCTTGGAATGAAAAAAGGGTCAATTCTTTTTTTTCTTTAGCCTCATCAAGTTGAGAGAGAAAATAGTCAATACATTAGGAAGATATATTAGTTATAAATATGTATGCACCCAGCAACAGAGTTCCAGAATACACAAAGCAAAACCTTACAGAATTGAAGGGATGAACTCCAACTAATAATACTTGGAGACTTTAATACCCCACTTTCAAACACGAATACAACATCTAGGCAGAAGGTCAACCAGGAAATGGGAGACTTGAATAAAACTATAAACAAACTAGACCTAACAAACATCTACAGAACACTCCATTCAACAACAGCAGAATATTCACTCTTCTCAAATGCACAAGGAACATTCTCCAGGACAAACCATATGTTAGGCCATAAAAATACATAAAAACATGGATAAACACATGCAAATAGAGACACAAACATTGATATATTAATAAACATTTTTCATTGGTAGAAATATGGGAAACATTAATGTTTTCCTTTGCTCTTATTTGCTAATTCCTATAATAAACATATTATGTAAGAGACAAAACGCCAATTGACAAGTTTTTGTTTTTGAGACAGAGTCTTGCACTGTCACCTGGGCTGGTGTACAGTGGCACAATCTCAGCTCACTGCAACCTCTGCCTCCCGGGTTCAAGTGATTCTCCTGCCTCAGCCTCCTAAGTAGCTAAGATTACAGGTGCCCACCACCATGCCCAGCTAATTTTTTGTATTTTTAGTAGAGACAGAGTTTCACTACATTGGCCAGGCTGGTCTCAAACTTCTGACGTCATGATCTAACCACCTTGGCCTCCCAAAGTGGTGGAATTACAGGCATGAGCCACTGTGCCGGCCAATACAAGTTATTTTTAAAAGCTGGATGATTAATAATGGAAAGGACTGAATTCAGAGAGATGAGGGAAACTGCCTGGTCTCATGTGGATCTTGTCAATGTAAATTCTACCAATTCATTTATACTTACACTTGAAACTCTTCGTAAGAAACGCCACTAGAAATGCTTCCCCTCCTTCTGGAGCTATGTCCGCTGTCTTCATCGTCATCCTCCTCAGAGTCATCCAGGCTTCGAGGGAAACTTCGGCTGCTCATGGGACGTGGTAAAGAACTGTGATCCAAATCCAGGTCCTCCTGAAGAACAAGGAGTCACTGAGTGAGGAGCAGAACAATGAGACCCCACAGAAGCTTCTCCAAGGGCTCGGGCAAACAACTGGGTGCGTGCCATTTGCCTGGGATTTCTTTGTATTTAACACCACGCTGGGAATTCTGCATTTTTCAGTTTCATAGATTGGCAAATTTAACAAACAGCAAGGAGTAGCCCACTTTTTGTTTGAACAAGAAAGAACATTTAAAAACACAACAGGCAAAAAAAAAAAAAAAAACTAAATGAAGAAATATGGGCCAGGCATAGTGGTCACACCTGTAATCCTAACACTTTGGGAGGCTGAGGCAGGAGGATTGCTTGAAGCCAGGAGTTCGAGACTGGCCTGGGCAGCAAAGTGAGACCCTGTCTCCACAAAAAAATTTAAAAAAAATTAGCCAGGCATGGTGATGCATGCCTACAGTCCCAGCTACCTGGGAGGCTGAGGTCGGAAGATCACTTGAGCCTAGGAGTTTGAGGCTACAGTGGGCCATGAACCATCTTAAAACAATAATAAAATAAATAAAGAAATGAAGAAATATATTATAGGTTGAGTATCCCTTATTTGAAACGCTTAGGACCAGAAGTGTTTTGGATTTGGGATTTTCAAAAATATTTTGGAATGTTTGCATTATACTTACTGGTTCATCATCCCTAATCTGAAAACCCAAAATCCAAACTGCTCCAATGAGAGCATTTCCTTTAAGCATGACCTTTGAGCATCATGTTGGTGCTCAAGAAGTTTTAGATTCTGGAGCATTTCAGACTCACATATTTGGGTTAGGGATGCTCAACCTGTATCTTCTTCTTTTCATAAAAGATAATACATTCGATAGCTCCAAAGTAGGAAGGATGTAATGTCAGAAATAAGAGCTGTGTCTAGATATAGCCTTGTAAAAATTTTCCTCATTATCTTTATGCTTAAATTTCACTGTGACTGGAGAAGTCCGTCACCTACTAGCACTGTTCTATGGAGCGGCATTTAGAAACCACTGTCCTAGACATCCCCTCACAGGAAAGTGGCTTTTGTAATTACATTCATCTGTGTTCTCTGTACCTCAGTTACCACAGATTTTTGTTGTTGCTGTTTAACCATTTATTTTTGAAAGTTAATGGTAAAGCTTTGAATTATTTTTTTTCTGATTATAAAAGCCCACTTATGTTTACTTTTAACTATTTTGTAAAAAGTATTCAAATGGAAGGCAGTTGCTAATTTTATTTTATTATAAATGTTAATAATTTAGGAAAGGCACAGTGGCTCTCGCCTGTAATCCCACCACTTTGGGAGGACAAGGCAGGCGGACTGCTTGTGGTCAGGAGTTTGAGACCATCCTGGCCCGTGTCTACTATAAATACAAAAATTAGCCAGGCATGGTGGCACGCACCTGAAGTCCTAGCTACTTGGGAGGCTGAGGCAAGAGAATCGCTTGAACCTGGGAGGCGGAGGTTGCAGTGAGTCGAGATTGTGCCACTGCACTCCAGCCAGGGAGCAAGACTCCATCTCAAAAAGGAAAAAAAAAAAGTTAACAATTTAAATAGCCACTAAATAACCAGAATAATTTCATATCTCTTGGTAAGTCCTTTTTCGTTTTCTTCACTCTCATGGAAATTGTGGACTCTGCAGCTAATCAGGCTTCTCTTTTCAAGCTGATTACCAGCAAGCTTAGGGCCCAATTTGTAGCCCAATCTTAATAAGCATATGTGTTTTTATGAATGCATTTTAAGCTTCATTAATAATCTATTATTTTTACTTTTGTTTTGCTTGCTTTTCATTTTGACTTTTTTATATCATGCTAACCATCCATTTTTATACATAATTGTGTTATATATTCTTTCTGGAATAAACAGGGTACTAACACATAAATTGACTGAGACAGAAAGAGAGCGTGGTGGGGATGGGCAAGAGACTCAATAACCTATTACTTCTATAGTGTTTGATACATCTGTGGTGTTGTAGGTAGCAAATCAAATCCTGTTCTCCTAAACCAGACCCACCCTCTCTTTCTCCAAGTCATCTCTCATCTGCTGATGTTCATGTTCGGTCAGTTCTTGGTCTCCATCTTGGTCGTACTTTGTGAATATTGCCTCAATCTCTGCATCAGTATGGCCCTTCCTGAAATTAGAGAGGATACAGATAAAATTATTCTTGTACCCAGTTCACCCTAAACACAGAGACATCAAAATGCAGGAGGAAAGGAGAAATCACCAAATGGGGGCAAGTTTTCCTCTTATAACATGTTCTAGAAAGATACTTGCCTCTGGGGAAAAAAAAAAAAAGTATCTCTATGAGCACTTGGGCTAGAAATACCCTTATCACCAGGAATTTATCTTTAGAAGCAGGAATTTTTCAGAACCTCAGGAAGCATGATTCTTACCCTTTGAGATCTTGTCGAAGTTCGTCAAAGTTTAACTTGCCTCCCCCTTGCCGCAGACTCTCTGAAATGTCATCTACAGTGTTTTTTTTCAGTTTTAGTTTCACCAAAGCTTTATGGTAGCCCTATCAGAGAGAGAAAAAAATAAAACACTTGGTTTAGTGTATTCTCCTTTTGCATTTGTTTTACTTTCCATTCACAGTAGTAACTACTATAAACCTGGTGTACACTGGCCATTCAACAAGTATGTGCTGGATGAATGAATAGTTAATGTATCCAATTTTCCATAAAACACTTGTGGAAGAGTTACATGGAAAAAGTCAGGGTCTTTCAGTAAGTCATGAAGAACTCATATGTGTATTCAAGTTTATGTGATAGAAACAAAAATTACTATATATGCTATAGCTGTCTGCCTCAGAGCATAAAGGACTGTGTAACCGTTCTTACGAATACTAAGAAACTCGAATTATGAATTGTGTCTTTATTTTTTATATTATCTATCTTCTAGACAGTAATTTCCTTAAGTGTGTATAAACAAACAAACAAAAAACCCAGTGAAATGTAGATGAGTATTTTCCCTTTTTTTGAGACAGGGTCTCACTCTGTCACCCAGGCAGGAGTGCAGCGGCATGACTCTGGCTCACTGCAGTTTCGATCTCCTGAGCTCAAGTGATCCTCCCAACTCAGCCCCCAACAAGTAGCTGGGACTACAGGTGTGAGTCACCACGCCTGGGTATTTTTTTTTTTTTTTGTAGAGATAGGGTCTCACCATGTTGCCCAGGCTGGTGTCAAACTCCTGAGCTCAAGCGATCCGCCCGCCTCGGCCTCCCAAAGTGCTAGACGTGAGCCTGCTTGCATACACACTGGAGGTTTGCTAACATGTAAGCCCTTGCTTTGCACATAGTGCAGCACTGTAGGTGACCATGCAGGCTGAAATTGTGCCAAATGATCTGAATAATCAGTGGGAAGAATTACAATTGTTCTGTGATCTATAAAACTTTTAATCAAAACATTAAACACTCCCTTAGTGTCAGTTATAAATGTATAGGGAGTTTAAAAAAGAAGAAAACTAATATTGATTTAATACACTAAAATATAAAACATTAGAAACATTAAAAACTAAAGTGTTTTATTTCTTTGTAAAAAATGTATCCAGAGTAGTTTAAATAGCACTTACCTTGTTTTCATTGGATAATATTACATTGTACACTTTACAATGTGTGGAGTGAACTTCTTTTCTATGCATTAGTGAATTGTCATATTCCTTCTTAAATGTGGATCAGCTTCCAACATATTTTTCTTTTCTTTTTTTTGAGACACAGTCTTACTCTGTCACCCTGGCTGGATTGCAGGGGTGCAATCTCGGCTTACGGCAACCTCCGCCTCCCTGGTTGTCAAGTGATTCTCATGCCTCAGCCACTTGAGTAGCTGAGATTACAGGTGTGCACCATCACGTCTGGCTCATTTTTGTATTTTTAATAGAGACGGGGTTTCACCATGTTGATCAGGCTTGTCTCGACTTCCTGGCCTCAAGTGATCCACCCACCTTGGCCTCTCAAAAGTGCTGGGATTATAGGAGTGAGCCACCATGTCCAGCCCCAACATTTTTTCTTTTGGACTTTCATTATTGTGAATTATCTCTAATAAGAGTTCCCTTAATGCGAAGTTTTTTTGCAGGCATCATTTCCTCAAGACATCTTCATCCGTTTTGTCACACCTATTTTCCTCATTCAAGTTGATAGACGTGCCCTAAGTTCTTCTGGTTCCATATCTGGATATCTTGAATGATCGCAGTGTCAACACTCCCGTTTCTTCTTCACTCAGCTATTTCTTCTATAAATCCATTACTCTGTTTTGAATTTCACTTCCAGGGTTACCATTATTCATTTCTTTGCTAGCCCATTCTCTTTTTCTTTTCTTTTTTTTTTTTTTTTTTTGAGACGGAGTTTTGCTCTTGTTGCCAGTGAGCCTGCTTAGCCTGCACATCTGTTACTCAGGTAACTGATCTATACACTGAAGAGTGAGCAGTGGAGTTTGTACTTTGTGCTGTTACTCACAGTTAATACCCTGTGATAACTGAAATGTGAACTGTGTTGTTGAAGGTGGTGTCACATAACAAAACTGGGGTAACCGAAGTTTGTGTGTATCAGAATTGTGCCAAATGAGGAGTGCTTGCATACACACTGGAGATTTGCTAACATGTAAGCAACTGTTATGCAGAATCAAGATAATGTGACTCTTAGGTCCCATCCCAAGGACTTTGTTTTAAGAGGCTTAAGTTTTCTATCGCAACATAAATCACAGATAACATAATCCTAAGGCTTGGCAATAAAAAAAAATTAGTTCAGGAGTCACTATGGCTTAGCAAAATGATGCTGGGAAACAAACTGTGTATTTTAAATGTGGTTATTTGTTGCTGTATACGTTTTATACTTTAAACCAAATAAAGAAGTTACATTGAGGAGAACAAAGAGGCCCAACTTTCCTGTCCTGCCCTTCTATTTAACAATGAAACCCTTCCTGAGACGGTGCATAAGTGAAAGTTCTCAGGCCCCAGGCTAGGACCTGAATTCATGAATCTTTTCCTTTGCTTATTTTAAAACTGCCATGGAAGGTCAAGGGTAAAGGGTGAACTACTAAGTATTTTCCTCTAAATCTTTTTTTTTTTTTTAATGGTAATTGAGATAGAAGAGGTGGGAATTCCTTTAGGTAATCTTCCCTTCTAGTTTATTCTCAACTCAGGATCCTGAAGTGAGAGCCAGCTAGAGTAGATGTCAAAATAATAAAGGTAATGAACCTTCAGCTCAGCTCTTAAAGTGTCAAAAGATTATTGAAAATTTAATTCCAGGACACAAAAGGATTCCCAGAATTAAAATTCAAGATAGCAGTACATCCATCAAGACTCCAAGATAGGGAACATTTAAATTATTCCTGAAATATAGCGATGTATTATTTCAACAATTTCAGTGGATCAATGTTGATTTGAAAATCTGGCTGAGACAATGCTCATTTTATGTCAGAAACAGAAGAATTCTGAGAATTAAGGCTTTTCCTACCTTTCTGATAAGATCTGAGAGTTCCATTTCAGCTTTCTGCTGTGCCAAGTCAGATTTCACTTCAGAGTAAGTATCATTGATGATGGCCAAAAACATATTCTGTTTGTAAATGAAAGGAGGGCAAAAATTAAAGGAAGAAACATAATTTGGAAATATCAATAAAAAAACTGACACGTCTTTTTGTTTATCCTTTTTTTTTCCTGAGTGCTTTATGAAGACATAAATTAATATTTATTTACTAAAAAACACTTTTTTTTTTGAGACAAGAATATCACTATATTGCCTAGGCTGGACTGCAGGGGTGTGATCTCAGCTCACTGCAACCTCTGCCTCCTGAGTTCAAGCAATTCTTGAGTCTCAGCCTCCTGAGTAGCTGGGATTACAGGCATGTGCCACTACGCCTGGCTAACTGTTGCATTTTTAGTAGAGACGGAGCTTCACCATGTTGGTCAGGCTGGTCTCGAACTCCTGGCCTCCAGTGATCTGCCCGCCTCGGCTTCCCAAAGTACTGGGATTGCAGGCGTGAGCCACTGTGCACGGCCTGATGTCATAAATTAACAGTTTTGCTGCCACATGTTTTGGGAAGATTATTTTCTCCCTTAAGTCATGCCACAGGAAAAATGTTGTGATATACTTTGTGAAAAGATACAAGAATAAAATACAACAAAATATTAGTATATTTACCTATGAATGGTGAGATTATTTTATTTAATATTATTTTTGCTTACCTATGTTCTCTATATTTAGAAACTTTTACATACACTACTGGAGGGTATAGAATTCTAAAAAGCTCTTCAAATTTCAACGGTTAACACAGATAAGTAGAACTGTAGGCTTATTCCAAGCTTTTTTATATAATCATATATGAAATTTACAGGTTGAAGAGTTTAAAAGGCTGTTGCAAACAGGAAGACAGCAGGCCTAGTAGGAAGATAGTAAAGAAAGTTTCTGGAAGAGAGACAGACTTTGGAGTCAAGCAAACTCGGGTTTCAGTCCTAGCACTGCTAAGATTGTCGCTTCACTTTTCTCAGTCTAATTTTAAAGAATTATTTGTTTTACATTAATAAAATGGGAAAAATAATAGTATCGCCCTTACATATTTGTTGGGCTAGTTAGTGAGACAATCTATGTAAAGTGCTCAGGACAGGTCCTGATGCAGGTAAGTGCTACCTAATTGACAGCTACTATTACCATTCGGTAATGGTGATTTCATTTTTCTGATCTTTCTCTTCCCCAGCAGTAATGGTCTGCATTTCCAACAACAGACTTTCCCAAAGCACTGTATCCAGGAGATCAGGTCCCCCCACTTTTTTTACATGCTCTTCCTTTGTTTTTCCTTTTTAACACATAACCGTGGTTTGCAAGTATTTCTATTTGATAATGTCTGTTTTCCCCCAAGTCTGAGGAATCTTCTTAAGGCCGAATCAGGCTGTTTTCCTTACCCTGGTACTGGCAGTATCTAACATACTACCTCATAGTACACAATCCACAAAAAACACTACAAGGTGTATTATACAGTACATATTATATATAGATTATATATACATATGTATATATAATATGTATTATATATGTGTGTATATATATGTTTTATATATATACACACGGATATAGTGGCTCAGTAAATACTTATTAAATGGTTGAGAAATGAACAAATGAGAACGCTCTTATTTTAGTTGGCTATTAACCTCTGTGTTAAGGAAGAATATTGTTTACAATTCTGTAGCAGAAATGAGAATATAATATAGAATACATATAAGTTTTTGACTAAATGCTCAATTCCAAGTGCAGACAACTGCAGTCCAAGTAACATCTTCTCCCTTCTCTCTTCCAACTCAGGGATCTAATGTTCTAGTTTTGCTTCCAAGTGGCTGTTAACTAATGCATGCCAATATCTTAATTGAAATGGATCAAAGGCTGGGACCTCTAAAGAGATTTCAAAAAATAGAAAGTGCTTGAGAAAGGCTCTTGAAGGTGTGGGAAGAGGAAGCTCACCCTCCTCTCCATCCTGTCTCCCAAGGTTCGCTTAATTATCAGATGGACACCTGTACCAGGATGTCTTTCCTGTTGATGTGGAGAAGAGTGGGGTTATCCTGGTTCAGTTGAGCCATTTCATAACACTGTGCCTTCTTGTTAAACAGGGGCAATAAACTAACACCAGGCAATCAGCTCAGAAAGGTGGCTAACCCTATGCTCAGCTTGTCATTTTCTTAAAAGACAGGTGTGTATTGAAAGTAGACTTCTATCTATGTAGCTATTTAGGTGTCTATGTATGTATGTATGTATGTATCTATCTATCTATCCATCCATCCATCCATCCATCCATCCATCCATCCATCCATCCATCCATCCAATCTCTGGGAGGTGCTAGGAGAGCAATTCTTTTTTGTGCTGTCGTCCAAAAAACAATTTTAGTATAAAGATAGAAACTAAGAGCTTCTTGTCATGTTCTGGTGACTGATCTGGTAAGATGACTGAATACTCTAGATCTGGTAAGACGGCTGCCTACTAAAGGACCACATTCAAACAACTCCACATTTGAGCATTTCCAGTTGCCACGATTCTATTCATCCTTTGTTTGGCAGATTGATAAACGGAGAAAACTAGGTGACCTGAGATCAACTGAAGGGTCCGGTGCAGGACTCTCAATTCCTGGTTTTTGCTTTCTCAGTAGAGATTCAGGTACTCTAGAATCCAAAGTACTATCAACGGTAGAGTAACAAAGGCTTATTCTTCTCTCTATTGTTTTCTTTAATATATGATAGGAAGAAGAAGCTTAAGAGGTGTAAGTTAAAACACGAGCCATAATCCATGCATACAGCAAGACACATATGGACTTGAATAATGTTCCTGACCTTTTCAGTCCTGTTAAAGTACAGCTAGGGAACATGCCTTTGTTTTACACCAGAGGCTGTGTCTCCCCAGAAAAAAAATAGTTAAAAAAATAGGAAATTAATACAGTACATCTAATACCCAATCAATAAATACCATACACTTAACCAGTAATACCTGGACTGACGTTAGAGTTATTACACTGAATTGCTGAAAATGTGATCACTCAACCTTCCTCAAGGGATCTTTACACAATTTATTGAAATGAAAAAATGTTATTTTCTTAAGAAAATTGTTCTTAAGATGACTGTTAGTGTTTAGATGAAAAATACCGCCTAAATTAAGCTGGCTTAACACCTTCTCAGTAGACAAGTGAATACATAAATGTTAAGAAAAAAACCAAAACACCTTAAAAAAAATCTTAATTAACTTAGGGCAAAAACATTAAAAATGTTCATTTGCACCAAATCAAGAGAATCAAATTATTTTTGAAAATAATTTTAATGCAATTTCCATTCATTGTCACATTTAGTTTTAAACTTAATTATCCGAATATTCTCTGTAGGCAGTCTCTAGATGAATGGGATATAAATAATTTAAAACAGAATATCCTAACTTTGACATGCGATGATTCACTCAACTATTACTCTTGACATCCTAGATCTAGCTTGCTTTTCAGTTCTTATTTTTTAAAAAGAACAGAAGAGAGAAAAGTCATGCTAGCAAGTGACTACAAAAGTGCTGACACATGTTTAAAAAGCATGTAAGCATGTTCTACTTTTTAGGCAAAGCACTATTTTAGGTATCTTTATAAATTTGTATTTGATCTAATTTCTTTTTTGCGTCAAACAGATACATATATAGAGAGAAATGAAAGACCATGGAAAAGATCTAATTTTTTTTGCATTGAATAGACAAATATATACGGATCAATGAAAGACCACGAAAAAGGTATTTGATATAAGTCTTAAAACTGTGAATAAAAGGAAAACAAGTTTTCCAACATCCACACGTTTTTCTACTTCCTGAGTCTTTATTTAAAAACGATAGAATATAGAGTGTGAGAGAAAAGAGAAGACAAGGATTTATGAATATGAAGTTTAAATTGAACCTCACTATAAATAAAAATGTACATACCAAAAGAATGAAGAACATAAAGAACACAAATGTAGTGAAATAAATTGGTCCCAAAACTCGATTAGCTTCCTCAATCTCTGCAAAGTTGATATCGCCCAAAATGATACGGAATTGAGTGAAGCTATAAAAATAAAACAAAACACCACAATACAAAAACAAAGAATGTCCAGTAGTAGATGCAACATTTCTTAAAGATGATTTCATATTTTTGGACCTTTTTAGCAGTATAGGTAGCTGCCAAATAACAGAAAATTGTCAATCCCATTTAAAAAGTCTTGCTACTTATATCAGCAATTAAAGCCTTCTGCAATAATAATAAAATGTTTTCATGCTACAGAGGTTATTTCCATTTGGTTAAAAAGAAAATACAGGCCGGGCGCAGTGGATCACGTCTGTAATCCCAGCACTTTGGGAGGCCGAGGCGGGCGGATCACGAGGTCAGGAATCCCAGACCAGCCTGGCCAACATGGTGAAACCCCGTCTATACTAAAAATACAAAAATTAGCTGGGCGTGGTGGCGGGCACCCGTAATCTCAGCTATTCGGGAGGCTGAGGCAGGAGAATCGCTTGAACCCGTGAGGCAGAGGTTGCAGTGAGCTGAGACTGCACCACTGCACTCCAGCCTGGGGGATGGAACGAGACTCCATCTCAAAAAGCAAAAATAACAACAACAAAAAAAGAAAATACAATTATTATTCAATAACTTATAAAGCAATTGGCTATAACAATTCAACACATAATCTAGGTAAAACATGTTAACTCTAAACCTTGACAACAGTCACCCGGGGTCTAAAGTTAAAAATTTCTTTAAAAAAAAGAAAAGGGCCTGGTGTGGTGGCTCATGCCTGTAATCCCAGCACTTTTGGAAGCTGAGGTGAGAGGACAGTGTGAGTCCCGGAGTTCAGTACCACCCTGGGCAACACAGTGAGATCCATTCTCATAAAAAAATGTAAAAACTTGGCCAGGCATGGTGGCATACACCTGTAGTCCCAGCCACTCAGCAGGCTGAGGCAGCTGAGTTCAAGGCTGCAGTGAGCTATGATCACACCACTGCACTCCAGCCTGGGCAACAGAGCAAGACCCCGCCTCAAAAACAAAACAAAACAACAACTCCCGCCCAAAACCCAAAATGGTTTGTGCTCAAAGATCCAATATTCTGACATGTACTTAAAATGGGGTCAAAGTGGCTAAATGTTGTCAGTGCTGGGTCTTAGTAAAATCGCTTTTATCAACAGCAATATTAATTAGAGATATCTATGCACGAAACTCTATCACTTCCATTCCTTTTTAAACTAACTCCTTTCTAAATGGCATAGAAATCTGACATTGGCTGCTTTTTGTTATTTCACATTTGGGATCTTTGGAAAAAAACCTGAAAATTCTTGTACTGGTCTGAGTTTACCCTAAAATATTAGAAATATCTTGCTTTTTTCCTTAGAAAATAACTTGAAGTTCTAAATATATGGCAACAATATTCAGCAGGAGTAAGAATATAGGCAAACAGCCTTCTAGAAGCTACCATCTGCATTTGGTGCAAAGAAAACCTCAGTCTTTAGAACAGTGTTGGTTTCCTATGGCTGTTAACTGTATCTTACTACTTTGGGCTGCTATCTTAAGCATCGTCTTCTTTGCATTGGTAGATCAATGTTTTGGGAAAAGGTAATTAATTCTTATTTAAAATAACTAGTTTTAAATACTTGGTGGTCATATAGCAACCTCATATGAAGATTTATTCTTGAGAAGCAGTGACAACTCTGATTAAATTTTTCTTCTTAATTTCATATATACTTACATACACTCTTGGAAAGTACTGAAGTCATCGACCTGAGTGCCAAAGACAAGGTATGCCAACTGAGCATATGCTAGGAAAATAATGAAGAACATAATAGCAAAGCCAAACAGGTCTTTGGCACATCGAGACATGGTTGTCGAGAGCTGGCTCATGGTCCTGTTAAAATTGATGAATTTGAAAAGCTGTAAAAGAGAGAGAAGACTGATCAATAGATGAATGGATAAACAAAGTGGTGTGACTGTACATAATAAAACATTATTTCATTCTGAAAAGAAATTAAATTCTGACACGGTACAACATGGATGAACCTTGAAAACATTATGCAAAGTGAAATAAGCCTGACACAAAAGGACAAATACTGTATGATTCCACTTACATGAGGCACTTAGAATAGTCAAACTCATAGTGACAGAAAGTAGAATGGAGGTTACCAGGGACTGGGGGGAATTGGGAGTCAGTGTTTAATAGATACAAAGTTTCAGTTTAGAATAACGAAAAAGTTCTGAAAACGCATAATGGTGATGGTTGCACAACACTGTGAATGTACTTAATGCCACTGAATTGTACGCTTAAACATGGTTAAAACGGTAGGTTTTATGCTATGTGTATCACTACAATTAAAAAAAAAAAGGCTGACTGCAGTGGCTCACATCTATAATCCTGGCACTTTGGGAGACTGAGGCAGGAGGATCGCTTGAGCCCAGGACTTTAAGATCAGCCTGCGCAATACGGCAAGACTCTGTTTCACTAAACAATAAAAATAAATTAGTCAGGTGTGGTGACACACACCTGTGGTTTCAGCTACTTAGGAGGCTGAGGTGGGAGGGTTGCTTGAACCTGGGAGGTCAAGGCTGCCATGAACTGTGACTAGTGATGCTTTCCCCCCAGAAATGATTAAAGTAAAAGAGAGTGAAAAAAACTCCACACAAATAAAAATTAATTATAAAACCCCCCAGGAAATTCTTGTTGCATAATATTGTCATTTGTTGTGCATCAGTTATGTGTGGAGGGCTTTATGTACATATGTACATTGCCTCAAATCTCTGCAATGTCTGAAATATTGGCATTCTATCCCCAGGAGTCAGCTGGAGCCTGCAGCCAGCTGCTCTGCCTGAACTGCAAAGCCTGCTCTGCCTGACTGCAAAGCCATATTGAGCATGTTGGTAGATAGTGAACCCTATTGGTAGACAGTGAACCCTGCAAAGCCATATTGAGCATGTTGGTAGTGAACCATGCTCTGCCTGACTACAAAGCCATATTGAGCATGTTGGTAGATAAGGCACTGAGGATGGCTGCCCAGATTGTGTAGCTTTAGGTAGAAGCCTCAGTGGAAGAGCACATGATGAGATATTAGAAGTGGAGTCATGATCCCTGCCTTAAAGACCTTAATGATAAAGTACAGAGGGGCAAGACATTTCCAAGAGAAGCACTAAATAAAACACAACAGCCTGAGACACATGTTGCAGGTAAATCTCTAGAAGTTTACTTAAAGGTCTGTTATACATTGTTTCTGGCCAGTGAAATATTTTTTGAGGATTGCTGTAATCACATTACTTAATACAATCCCAATGCATTTGAGATCTTTTTTTTTTTTTTTTTTTTGAGACTAAGTGTTGCTCTGTTGCCCAGGCTGGAGTGCAGTGGCACAATTCAGCTCACTGCAACCTCCGCTTCCTGGGTTCAAGTGATTCTCCTGCCTCAGACTCCCAAGTAGCTGGGATCACAGGCACATGCCACCACACCCAGCTAATTTTTTTTTTTTTGTATTTTTAGTAGGGACAGGGTTTCACCATCTTGGCCAGGCTGGTCTCAAACCCGACCTCAGGTGATCCGTCCGCCTCAGCCTCGCAAAGTGCATGAGCCACTGTGCCCAGCTGAGATCTTGATTATTATTACTATCTTGATTATTATTATTAAACTAATAATAATCAAGGAAACTTCAGTAATTCTCAGGCAGCACCTGCCATCCTGTCACTAGCACAGGCTCTGACTGTGCTATCCAAACATGTGCAGCTATTTAAATTCAAATTCAAATTAATTAAGATTAAATACAATTAAAAATTCAGTCCCTTGGTCCCACTAGCCATATGTTAAGTGTTCCATGCCTATACGTGGCTAGTGGCTACTGCCTAGGACAATGGAAATATGGAACATTTCCATCACCACAGAACATTCTTATTACTATCATTATTTTTGCTATTTGATTATTATTACTATTATTATTACTATGTTGCAATCAAGGTTTTGTGCTTTAGTGATGGTTTCTCTTGAACAAGCATGTCAATAAATAAATAGCATGAGAAATACAGGATAAAGTCTATGCATTTTTTTGTTTTTTTTTTGAGACAAGGTCTCACTTTGTTGCCCAGGCTGGAATGCAGTGGCGCAATCTTGGCTCACTGCAACCTCTGCCTTCTGGATTCAAGCAATCCTCCCGCCTCAGCCTCCCAAGTAGCTAGGACTACAGGCAAGTGCCACCACCCCCAGCTAATTTTTGTATTTTTAATAGAGATGAGGTTTTGCCATGTTGCCCAGGCTGGTCTTGAACTCCTGGGCTCAGAAGACTCGCCTACCTTGGCCTCCCAAAATGCTGGCATTACAGGCATGAGCCACCGTGCCTGCTCTGGATCTATGCCTTTTGATAAACCTCAGGCCTTCTAGGTATGAATACCAACTCAGGAAAGTACATAATGGGTAAGTACCTTCTAGAACAGTGCTGTTCAAGAGAATGCTCTGTGATGATGGAGATGTTCTACATTTCCATTGTCCTAGAGAGTAGCCACATATAGCCACTGAACACTTAATGTGTGGCCAGTAGGACCAAGGAACTGCATTTTTAATGGTATTTAAGCTTAATTAATTTAAATGTGAATTTAAATAGGCACATGTGGCTAGTAGTTACGTCTGGACGGCACAATCAGAGCCTGTGCTGGTGATGGGACGGCAGCTGCTGCCTGAGAATTATTGAAATTTCCTCCATCTCCAGAATTGAGGCTCATTGTATATGAAATGTCATAACCTTTCACACACATGGAAATGCACATTATGTCTTGAGACGATAAGGAAATGAGTGAGGAAGGAACTATTTGGAAGCGGTGTCTGTTCCAACCTTAATTCTAGGTAAAGCTTCCCTTACAGCCTCTACCTGGAAAAGAGGCGATTCCTTCCAGCAAGCACTTTCAAGTGCAGCAACTCTCCCCTTCCCTCCACCTGATCCTTCTCTCTCTCTGAGTTCCTTTTCCTTCACCTGTTCATCTCATATCAGGTAAAACTCAGACCTGCCTCTGTGTCAGAGCAGCCCCGGGCCCCAGGCCCAGCTAACACACTGAAAGGCCTCTTACTGCATTTGTTAAACAAAACCTATAGGGACTGATCTTGCACTAATTCAGATAGCAGGAGAAGTATATCATTGACAGTGAGAGGAATGATCATATGAGTCTCAATAGTTTACTTCATATGTAAAATATAAGGCCTGGTATGGTGGCTCATGCCTATAATCCCAGCACTTTGGGAGGCAGAAGTGGGAGGATTACTTGAACCCAGGAATTCAAGACCAGCCTGGGCAACATAGTGAGACCTTGTCTCTACAGAAAAATTTAAAAATTAGCTGGATATAGTGGCACATGCCTGTAGTCCCAGTGACTTCGGAGGATGAGGTAGGAGGATCGCTCGAACCTGGGAAGTTGAGGATGCAATGAGCTGTCATCATACCACTGCACTCCAGCCTGGGTGGCAGAGTGAGACCCTGTCTCAAAACCAAGTAAATATGGAGTAGCTCTGGCCAGTCACTTGAATTTTGAATTCAAGTATTCTATGATTTTGTGGAACTCAATTATTTTTGAAAGAAAATATTACTTAAAATGTAGAACATGAAATTTAAAAATTACCTTAATCCAGACAAAAAATACTGTGACAGCAGCTATATTGTTGAACTGTATTTGCCAATATGCCAGATGCTCAAAGTTGGGGAAAGTATTTTGATCTTCCAGAAACTGTAAGAGCACCTCCACATTTGATGTTCTGTATATGCTAATTCCTATAGCTACCACTGATAGCTGGAAAGCAAAAGATTTAAATTTTATTACAGTGTTTTAGAAATATAAAACGTACCTTAATATGACTAGTATACTTTTCTTCACCAATGTATTAATTGTAGGGTTCACCATTATACTTACCCAATGTCATTCTTAAAAGTCATTCACTCAAATGGAAAGTGTTAAGCCCTGCCATAAAATAAGTAAAACAATATATTGCTTGCATTTCCTTAGTTCGGAATAGAAACCCAATGAAGGCATGCATGCATGCATTGTGCACATATGCATTACACACACGTACATGCATACACAGAAGAGATCACACCACAACAGACTCAAACTCCAAGAGGAATGCTTTCTGTTTTTTTCTGCCACCTTCATTTTAATCACTTTCCACCCTCTTGCTTTCTTGCCTTAAACCTGCTTTGTTTTTGGGATTTTTAAATGTAAAATTTTCCAGTTTCTCTTCATTCTCCAACTGCCAGCCATTCTTCGCTTTGATCAACAAAAATATAGTATGTATAATATGTCTATGTATACAGCACTGTGCGAGGGGCTAAGAGGAATAAACAGAAGTAAACCACATAAATCCTGCCCTTAAGACACTTATATTCTGGTTCAAGAGCAGATAAACACATGAAGTTAAATAATACAAAAAACTACTGAAGAGTTGGTATCACACAACATAAAGTGAAGAGGGGCATAAGATATCCTAAAAAGGAGTGCCCATGAGAACAAAGAATGAGCTTGGGCTTGAAAGACAATGGGAATGATGAACACGGAGGGCTTAAGAAGGCCTGCAGTGGGAATAAACGAGCCAAGGGCTTCTCTCTTGCTCATTTCTGTCCCTTAACTCATGACCCTACAACTTGCCACATATGCTTTGGTTCTAGGCTTTAGAACCAGATCCAAGGGGACACTGCCCCCTCCTTGGCATCCATCACCACTAAATGTAGACAGTGCTAGGGGTTAGTCATAACCACCTGGCCCCACTGGGGGGTCTGAATCTGCAGCAGGTGGGCTGTGGCAGGTGCTGCAATCTTTGCTGTCCATTCTCTCTTCTTAGGAATGATGACCAGAGACCACTTCATTAGCCCTCCCTTCCTGAGATGGCCATCCATATCATGGTCCCCCATGTGATTCTCATAGCAAAGACCAGCCTGGTTGCTGATCACAGCTAAAAAGCCAACCTCACCATCTTCCTTTTCTTATCTGTGAAGGATTTCCAGAGCCAATTTTGTATTTTTGTGTTGGTGGTGGGAATGATGAACACAGTGGGCTCAAGAAGTCCTGCAGTGGGAATATGTGAACCAAGGACTTTTCCTGAGATGAGGAGCTCATCTCAACTAATCCATTTGGAAAAACATTTGGGTTGGTGGACTGGATCCAGTGGTAATTCTTTACCCAACTCTCACCAGGTATAATTTGTTATGTAGTCCAGTTGTTTTTACTCTGCACAGGACAAATGTTTATAAAATTATGAAGAAGATGGTCATTTATACGACAACGTCATAATATGCTAAATTTCTTTGAAACCTTTCCTTCCAAATAGGGGATGAAAGAAGAGATGAGGAAAGAGATTTTGTGAGCATCTGCAATGTTACATCACTCCTGAGTTTTCTGTGGGATTCTCATCCCTGTCTATAAAAGAACTTTCTCTCCATATCAGAAAATTAGGAGGGTAGAGATTTGGGCTATTTTATTCATTCCTATATCCCCAGTTTCTAGAATAGTGCCAAGTACATAGTAGGTGCTCAGAAAATATTCGTTGAATAAATGAATTAGTCAGGCCAGGTGCAGTGGTTCGTGTCTGTAATCCCAGGACTTTGGGAGGCCGAGGCAGGCGGATCACGAGGTCATGAGATCGAGACCATCCTGGCTAACACGGTAAAACTCCATCTCTACTAAAAATACAAAAAATTAGCTGGGTGTGGTGGTGGGTGCCTGTAGTCCTAGCTACTAGGGAGGCTGAGGCAGGAGAATGGCCTGAACCTGGGAGGCGGAGCTTGCAGTGAGCGGAGATCACGCCACTGCACTCCAGCCTGGGGATGGTGCGAGACTCTGCCTCAAAAAAAAAAAAAAAAAAAAAGAATTAGTCATTTTACCCCGTAAAACCTAGCAAGCAGTCAACAAATTATCTGAGTTTAAATTCCTTAATAGTCTTCTTTTTTCAAGCAATTCTGCTAGTTTTGAAAGACTATTGCTCAGGACAAATGGCTGACTGATGCAGCCTGTGTACTTCAGAACATGTTGGAGAAACAAAAAAGGAAAACAAAGAAAATTTCAAAGTGATTTCAATAGGTCATTATATTTATATTTAAAATATAATTTCTTTTCAGGTTTTGGTAAACATAAGCAAATTTTGGCTAGATAAAACAAAAAGTGTTGGCTCTTTTCATTGGTTTGAAGGTCCAGTAGAGCACAGGGTGTGTTCTGTGGGTGACCAGAAAGCATGCCCTCACTTCTACACTTGATCAGCAAATGTTTCAAAGGACAAGTGGGATTCCAGTAGCTCTTCCTTGTTCTTTATAAACAAAAAGCACACTGTCTGAATTGTTGTCTGGCAGTATTAAGTGTTGTTTTAAAAAAAAAAAAAAAAAATTGAAAAGCACAGTGAAGTAAGTTTTCAAAGAAATACTTGCAAAATGCTGTGGCTGCTGAGTCAAAGAGACAATTTCCATGATATCATCGCCTTTTCTCCTATTGGTAGCCAAAGCGGCACAAGGCAATTCACTGGGGTATGGGAAGAAAATGTTACAACTTCTAGGTAGGTGGTAAGAAAGTGTTGGAATTCTATTTGTATTAATTTTTATCCCAATCTTTAAAATTCTATGTATGTGTATGTTTTACGGATGTACCTGTTACACCAATGTATGCATACAATTTACAAATAAAGATAATACAATAGGGTGTGTAGTCAAAGCTTTCACTGATAGGTGTGTATGATCAAAAAGGGTGAATACCACTGACTAGTCTTTTGTTGATATTGAGTTCTTTGGTTAAAAAATAAAAAGGAGGTTTGTTCTTAATTAGCATATCATACTTACCTTTTTACCACTATGTCAATGGCCTAAATATAAATAAATCCATATAAGCCAAGAGGCAGGGTTTGCATGCTTATAGTTCCAAACAATAATTGTGTTCTGGAATAATTGTCAATGTATATGGCCTGCGCTCTGCCATCACTCTGAACAGAAATATTCTGAAAAATTATTTCCAGTATTATTGTCTCTCCTGTTTCCTTAAATGCTAAAATTCTTGTGTAACTCTGTTCATTATTAATACATTGAGAATTTGGGGATCAAGGGTTTATCTTGATTTGTGTGATGTTATATGGCCATCATAAAAGATGGGATGCAATTCTAACTGCATCATGACCTGATGAGGTCAACACCATCTATTCTATAGGAATTTTTACTTTAAGTAAAAACTCTTTCTAAAGTGCACATATCCATGGCTTGAGAGGCAGTGTTACTATGAGGAACAAATGAGTTTCTGTACCATGAAAAGCACCCAGAGATGCCTAACACAGTAGCTTCTAAAGTGTTAGCCATTATTATTGTTACTATTACAATTATTATCGCTGCTAATATTGTTATTGCCATGCAATATATGGCCAGGTAGTTCTTTTTTATACCTTAAGTGTTCTTTCACTCACATATGAATAACATATTTTCTATATTTTATCAACTATTAATAATTCTAGCGGGGAAGAGTTTAATAATGACTTGATGTAAATGCTTCACAAAGGCCAAATGAATTTTTAGGCGTGGGATGAGGGAAAGAATAATTCTCATGAGGAGGGCTAACAGAAGAGAGAATGCTAATAGGGTAGTGCATTATTTACTGAGATTTCAGAAGGTAATGGCTATCATAGGCAGTGGGAAGGAAAGACATAGAATAATACATGGTACACCTATGCCAAGCAAAGCTTGTGAGCATCTAACAATTAAGCATGTTGTTATATACTTAAACGTAAAACTGGACTTAGCGAAAGGTTACCTGTTATTGCTGAAGGGAGAAAAGCTTGTAAAATGTCTTTTATACACTGAGGCCATAGGAAGGAAGTGACTGATGCTTAATTAAGTGATAAGAATGACAGGAAAACATCTTGAAAAAATATTAGCAGTTATAATAGAGTCAAAGGCAGACACAGAATTTACATGGTGTCATGGTCTTGATTATGACTCTGCCTTTGATTTATTTTTTATTTTTATTTTTTAGAGATGGGGGTCTCACTATGTTGCCCAGGCTGGTATCAAACTCCTGACCTCAAGTGATCCTCCCACCTCAGTTCCCTAAAGTGCTGGGTTATAGGTATGAGCCACCATGCATGGCCTGCCTTTGATTTCTTGTACCTCATACAGAAAACTTTGATGAATATAACTTACATTTTATACGCTGTACACTATTTGCAGAAAATTTTAAACTGCAGAAAGTTTTCTCTGCCACCCAAAATATTTTCAGGATGATTTTTCTTTTTTCTTTTCTTTTCAAGGCAAGGTCTCACTCTGTCACCCAGGCTGCAGTACAGTGGTGCATTTACAGCTCACTGCAGCCTCAACCTCCTGGGCTCAAATGATCCTCCCACTTCGGCCTCTGGAATAGCTGAGACTACAGGTGTGTGCCACCATGCCTGACTAATTAAAAATTTTTTTTTTTTTTTGTAAAGACAGAGTCTCACTATGTTACCCGGGCTGGTCTTGAACTCTGGGGCTTAAACAATCCTCCTGCCTTGGCCTCCCAAAGTGCTGGGATTACAGGCATGAGCCACCACACCTGGCTGACAAGGTTTTTCTTGCTGTAACTTTACACATGTGCAGGAAAATACAAATTGATTTTTACTAGCAGTTGAAGAAAAATATCATTAGTGAAAAAAAAACAAAGAAAAAAAACTGTTTTCTCCTCCACATCTCATGTGGCATACTAAAGCCAAATATGAATTACTGAGATATTCTCATTAGCATGGTTGAGAGCATACTGTAAATACCTCTCCACTTCATACTCAGAAAAGTTACTCATGCAAAATGAGAAAATAATTAGTAACAGAAGTTGATATACTTGAAGGGGACTTTTCGATTCTTTTTTGGGAATATCAAGATCCACAAGGCTGAGGAGATCTAAGACTCTAGTTAACATGCTTGTAGGACAGAATAGGAAATTTGGTGTTGTTCTCAGACCTACCACAACGATCACAACATCCAGACAATTCCAGAAACTCCTGAAATAGTGTAGTTTGTGAATGCGAATTTCCAATATCTCTTCCACCACGTAGTAAAGGATAAAGAAACAAAAGATAATCTCACAGGCTGCCAGGAAGAAATCAAAAGTTGTGACATATCGGATCAGCTTTAAAGGCTGAAATTGCCAAGATGGAATCACACCGCCTGTTGCTGGGAATTCAACCAATAACCTGCATGGAAATAAGAACAATTAAAACAATAACAACAACACATGAATATAGTCAGGAACGGATGGCCATCTATTCTGTTCATGCACTACAAGGTAATTAAACTGCTACGATGAGTCCCCTCAAACTAGTGGCAAAACATTTTGATCATAGCTAATAATTCCATACTTGTAGAATTTTGTGCCATCAAAGGAGTAAGACTTCCTGAGGTCTTTCAGTCCCAAAGGAGTACTTCCTGCTCAGTCTTCCCTCTATTTTTCTATATTTATGCTGCTCAAAATGCCATATACTTTTAATGTAAAAGTAAATCAACACACAAACTTTTCTAGGACTTCTGTTATTATTTTTTAAGAGCTAGGGACTCACTTTGTTGCCCAGGCTAGAGTGCAGTGTTGCAATCATAGCTCACTGCTGCCTCAAATTCCAAGGCTCAAGGGATTCTCCTGCCTTAGACCCCTGAGTAGCTGGGACTATAAGTGTGCAGTACGACGCCCGACTAATTTTTTTTTTTTTTTGGCAGAGACTGAGTCTTGCCCTTTTGCCCAGGTTGGTCTCAAACTTCTGGGCTCAAATGATACTCCTGCCTGGGCCTTTCCAAGTGCTGGAATTACAGGAGTGAGCCACTGTGCCTGGCCCTAGGACTTCTATTAAATTCAAGTCCTTCTCCTAGGCAACATGAAGAATATAAAGAAATACAAGCCATCCACTCAAAACTTGTGTGATCTCGTTGAGAAGTAGGATATATTTTGTACATATGTAAAGATAGGAACTGAGTCTCTCATTCGTTCATTAGGTAAAACCTAAATAGCATCAAATAGTTTGTCCTCCAGGGAATCTCTCTTCTTCCCAGAGCCTTATAATGAATAGGTGTGTACTCAATAGATGTCTGATTGTCTAAAACATACACTGTTTTACATCCATACTAATGGCTCTGATCTTTACCGCTTTACCATAACTGGACTGAGGGGTTTTTTTGTCAAACACCATTTCGTAGGTGTCACACTGAGAAAGGTGGGTGATTCAGTTAATGACACAGACTCCTTATCTAACTAGAAACAGAATCTCTAGCTGCTTCATTTTAAGACATTTAAAAGCCCTTTAGTCAGCTACTAGCCATCATTATCTCTGCCATTACAGGACAGATAGCCACACCTGGAACTTGAGCATCCAGGACACATGCATGAGCAATAATCAAGTAAAAACAGGGACTATGGTAAATTAGAACTGGTCAGAGAAGTGTGAACATTTTCCTTCCTTTTCATTGTCAGTTTTCCTGTTCTTTCTTTCCTATTTGATGTGTTGGAGAGTAGGGGTAAGAACCAAAAACTCAGGAGAGCAACACTGAAGCCAAGAGTCTTGTATGTGACAGCCTCATTGGGAACTCAAAAGGGAAGGAAGTGGCCTTCAAGAGTCAAGTCATTTCTCTGGTCCATTCTGGCCCTGCAGTAGTCAACCACTTCCAGAAACTTAGAAAAACAGTATAGAGAAATGAAGCAGTTGTCTTAACAATGTTTATCCTTAAAGTAAACGAGGAAGCAAAAGAAATACTCAATACCTTCTATAAATAGAATTTACTAAAATATCAGAGTTGCCTCTCTGTTTTTATTCTCTTCCTTTTTATTCTATTCTTTTGATCTTCACTGGAACACTCAGGAAAAATTCAATAATAACTGCAATAGATTTTCATTCATTTCTAGTGATAACTACTACTGGACTACTGGTTGAGTATTTCCTTCCTTCCTTCCTTCCTTCCTTCCTTCCTTCCTTCCTTCCTTCCTCCTTCCCCTCCCTCCCTCCCTCCTTCTCTTTTTTTTTTTTTTTTGCCACTGTGAGCAAGGACAGGTTGAATGTTTCTAATCTGAAAATCTGAAATATAAAATGCTTCAAAATCCCAAACTTTTTGAGCACCGACATGACAGCATAGGTGGAAAATTCCACACCTGACTTCATGTGACAGGTCATTGTCAACATGCAGGCACACAACAGTTTATTCAACATCCCTAAGGGAAAAATAAAACTTCCTTCAGGCTATATGCATGAAGTTTCATTTATGAAACATAAATGAATTTTGTGTTTAGACTTGGGTCCCATCCCCAAGATATCTCATTTTATATATATGCAGACATTCCAAAATCTGAAAAAAATCTTAAATCTCAAACATTCCGGTCTGAAGCATTTTAGGTAAGGGATAACCTGTAATTGACTTAATGTGGTACTATTTTCTGCAAACGTTGTTAAATACAAGGACTGGGACAATCCAACAAGCCACGTAGAGCAGAATTGAGCTTAACCTCAAGAACGATGACAAAGACTATTATGAGAATAAACCCTTCTTATCTTGTGTGTAAATATACATGCAATAATCCATGTTAGTGATGTTTGGGTATTGCTGACATGCTCACCAGGAAGATTAAAGTGGGTGAACTCTGACTCCCTCTTGCTCTGCTTTTTCCTTCTTTTTAATAGTACCTATCACCTTCTAATATTTTATATATTATATAATAAAATAACTACTATATTATTTGTATTGTTTATTGTTTAATGTTTATTCTTTATCTCCTCCTGGTTGGAGGCAAGCTCTGCAAAGGCAGGGATCTTTGTTGTGTTTGCTGACATGTCCCAAGAGCCAAGAACAATGTCTAGCCCATATTAAGTGTCCAATAGATGTTTGCTGAATAAATGAATGGAGTTGAATCCCAGACAAGCCAGTGGAATCTTTGTCAGTTTCGTTACTGTCTCCCAGAGGGGTCATCATGGCAACATCCCAGGATCTGAGGAAGGAACTTTATGTGACTCTGACAGCCCTTAGCATGAGCAGGTACCTGGGTATCCTACTGAGCATCCTACAAGCACTCCAATTACTGTGCTTGTGTGCTAATAGCAGAGGCTCATCTGAGAGTGAGAAACTCCAGGGAATGAATCAAGATTTGATGGGCAGGGGACTTGGTGATGGAACATGTGGCACTGATCATCCTCATAATGGGTAGGGACAGATGTTAGAAAAACACAATACTTATCTGGAAAGGTTCCAGCATTGAGATGAACTTGGACCAGAGTTAAGGTTCTTTCCAACTTGTAATATTCTAGGATCCCAACTTCCTTCCTCAAATATCCTTTATTTCAATAAGCCTTCAGTTTTTACCCCTCCCTTGCTATCTGTCTGGGTCCTTGGCATCCTCATTTAGTTAACGGCAGGCAAAGGTTTTCCTGGCCAACCCCAGGATAGGATGTACGTACAACTACACAAAAATAGGAGGGATGCGTGTCCTCAGTACACACCTGACCACACAGAACAGGTTAATGTTGGCGTTGTACACTGAGAAGTCAATAAAAGTTGCCCTGGTTCCTCGGTCCAGCCAGACATTTTTCTTGAGGCTAGCAACTTGTGCAGCTGTTTCCTCTCTTGTTCTTGACAAATCCAGATAATAGCCAGCTCCACTATAAGTTGCAATGATTCCCCAGTGGCTACTACCATTCAAGTCTTTTTCACTTGTGTAGATCCAACTGATTAAAAACAAAACCAAAAAACAAACAGTTAAAATCAGTGGAACACTTGTGGCAATTACAAGGACAGTTGGTCCCTTGTAAAATAAAGTATGCATTAAGGCCTATCAAGCTGGGTAATGTGCCTGACCTGGCACTTCATAAGTGTTTTCTTGGTTAATTCTCATACTGTTATTAGCCTCACTTTAGGAATGAGGGCCCTGAGGTTTAGTGAGGTCAATGTAGTCCCAAAGTTTTGAAGGTAGACTCAGGAACCAATGCCAGGGCTGTCTGTCCCTAGAGCCTCTGCTCTGCTCTAGAGCCTCTGCTCAGTTTATATGGCTGCCTTCTCTGGGTAACTGTGCTCAGGGACTAGATAACTTGAGGTCCCCAGAGAAATTTACAGCCAAAAGAGGGACAAGTTCATCAAGTGGCATTGTCAGCATTTGGGAATTTCATCCACAAATATTCAGAGGATCTCTTAGAAAACAGATGCTTCTTTGGCACTAATGGGGATATAAAGGTCCTTTCCCTCCCAAATTTAAAACAAGTAGGGAAACAAAAGTTGTAATTAAACAAGTAAAATACAAGGTGGATAATAATAAGAAGCAAAAGACTTAAGAAATTAGGCTGGCAGATCAGAGGAAAGCTATCCTTATTTGGGGATCTGGCAATGAAGGGATGGATTAGAAAAGGCTTTAGGAAGAAGCTGTGTTGGACCTGAGCCATGAAAGGTGAGTAGGACCTGGACTTGCACAGGTGAATGCTGATATGGTTTGGCTGTGTCCCCAACCAAACTTATCTTGAATTGTAACTCCCACAATTCCCATGTTTTGTTGGAGAAATCCGGTAGGAGGTAATTGAATCATGGGGGCAGGTCTTTCCCATGCTGGTCTCGTGATAGTAAATAAGTCTCACGAGATTTGATGGTTTTACAAGGGGGATTTTCCCTGCACAAGCTCTCTCTCTTTGCCTGCTGCCATCCATGTAAGACATCACTTGCTCCTCCTTGCCTTCCACCATGATTGTGAGGCCTCCCCAGCCATGTGGAACTGTAGGTCCATTAAACCTCTTTCTTTGGTAAATTGCCCAGTCTCAGGTATGTCTTTATCAGCAGCGTGAGAAAGACTAATACAAAATGGAAAGGGCATTTCTAACGGTGAGCCATTGGTCAAGAGAAGTAAGTAGTTCAGTTTGGCTCCACAAGGTAAAGAATGGTAGATCGAAAGGTAGTCTGTGGTCAGCTTGTGAAGGGCAAACATGAAGGAGTCTGTGAAGGGAAAGTTCTGAGAGGCACAGAACAGGGCTGCTCTGGTGGCGGCAGGGAAGACTGGAGTGGGGAGGAAGAGGGCTCACGTGCACAAAAGAGTTAACACAGCAGGCCTGAGATGGTCTTTCCTTAGGAAGGCCTGTTTGCAAGGTTGGACTTTGGCTGGCATCTGGGAACCTGACTGATAAACAGCTCCCTGCACTGGTGTACAACTTTCCCTGACCGGTAAGAGAGGCTTGCTGTGCCTGTGCTATTTGTACGAGCAATGTGGCTTTACACTCAACACCTGCTTTCCTTCTGGGAGTCGGCAATTTTGGCACATGCCAGTCATAAACCAGTACCAGTATCCAGTGAACACCCCAGGCACTGAGTCTCTAATTAACCTCTCTGATAGACATTTCACACATTGTTACAGCTTGTTCCTGGAGAAATTCAGCACATCCTATGTGACCTCACTGGGAGAGGGCTCCTGGAAGCCTACACTGGGTTTTCCCCATGTGCCTTTTCTTTTGTATCCTTTCACCATAATAAACCTTAGCTATGAGGATGCCTCTATGCTGAGTCCTTCTAGTGAATCACTGAAAAAGGGGGTGGTCTTAGGGACCCCTGACATAGCTCCATTAGCAATAACCAAGAGGTAATGAGGCCTGAACTCACTCAGTGAAGATGGGAAGGGGAAGGAAGGAGTGAGAGAGTGTCACCACAGTGACTGCCAGCAGAACTTGGCAACTGATTTGGAAGTTGGGGCAAGGAGGAAACATGGCTCAAAAATGACTCTGGAGTCTCTTTCAGGGCAATAGGAAGATAGCAGTGCCATTAACAGAAGGAAGAGCAGATCCCATAAGAAAGCGATGTTTAATTTGGGGCATATTGAATCACAAGAGGTGTGGGACATCCAGGTGGAATAGAGACGTATCTTGTATCACTAGAATGCAAGCTCTGTGAAGAAAGGATGTTTGCTTCTGTTTACTGCTACTTTGTTTCTTCAGCATCACGGGGACTAGAAGAGGGGTGACTTCTAGCAATGGGAACATGCCTGGCACATTGTTAAAGAAATGACGAGTCACCAAATAAAGATGCCAGTGGAAGCCATCTGAATGTCATGGGAAAGAGGGTAAAGAAAGAAAAGATGGAGATACAAATATAGAACCTGGGAATAAGACAGGAGAAGTGAGAGAAAGGGGTTTCAGAGTTAAAAGAACCCAAAGTGTAGAGTTCCTCACGGAAGTCAAAAGAATGAGCAGTCAACACTGCCACCTTCTGCAGACAGGATGAAGGGGATAAAGACTGAGATTTGTTCAGTGGATTTGCTAACTAGAGGTCCCTAGTGGCTTCCTGGTGAGATGTCAAAAGCAAGAACCTAAGCTTTAAGAGGTAAATCGAGGGTAAGGAAATGGAAGTGGCAAATGAAGACTATTCTTCCAAGAAGTTTGGAGTTGATGGGAAGAAGAAATTGGAGTGACTTGAGAATGTAGAAGAATAAAGGGATGGTTTAGATATGACAGGGAAGGTCCCCTTTGGCAATCCACCCTGGAGTAGAAATCACTCATTCATACATGCATCCAACACATATTTATTAGTATCTTTACATATGAGGCATTGTTCAAGGCTTTGAGAACACAGCAGTTAACAAAATAGAATCCCTGCCCTCAGGAAGCTTCAGTACTGATGGGGAGCTGACAGCACTGAAAAGCCACCCTAATGATGTAATTAATACGGAGGAGGAATTAATATGGAAGAGGTTTAGTAGACGAAACATGGGTTTTGGAGTCAGGCTGCTTAAATCTTGGTTCAGTTCCATTTGCTAGCTGTGACACTTCGGGCAAGTGAGCCTCAGGTTTTTCATCTATAAAATGGAGATGATACCTATTTTAGAGTTGTTTTGTGAAAGTAGATGAGATAATGCGTGAAATAACTTCTTAAATAATGTCTGGCACAGAGCCGTGGCTGTATAAATTTATCTTCTTAGTGATGTGAGATAAATAAAATATTGGAAAGGGTATCACAGATGGAAGGCATGCTTATGCTTACTACAAAAAGGCACACTAGAAAGCAAAATAAAGCTGGGCATGGTGGCATATTCTATAGTCCCGGCTACTTGGGAGGCTGAGGCTGGAGAATTGCTTGAGCCCAGGAGTTTGAGGCCAGCTTGGACAACATCAAGAGGCTCCATCTCTAATAAAATTTTTTTTTTAAAGAAAGCGAAATCACTAATATAACTTGGATGATAATGTTCTTTGAGATTATTTAGTACCTTTGTTCTAAAGCTCTGGAGTTCTACTAAATTTTTTTTTTTTTTTTTTCGGCGGACTCTTGCTCTGTTGCCCAGGCTGGAGTGCAGTGGTGAGATCTCGGCTCACTGCAACCTCCACCACTTGGGTTCAAGCAATTCTCCTGCCTCAGCCTCCCGAGTAGCTGGGACTATAGGCACATGCCACCATACCCAGCTAATTTTTGTATTTTTAGTTGAATCAGGGTTTCACCATGTTGGCTAGGCTGGTCTTGAACTCCTGACCTCAAGTGATCCGCCCGCCTTGGCCTTCCAAAGTGCTGGGATTACAGGCATGAGAAACTGTGTCCAACCTGGATTTTTACTAAATTTGTTTCTTATGGGTTCTGGTATTAAATAGAGTATACACTGGATGGTACAAGAAGAATACACTAATTGAAAAGGTGATTGCCCATTGTATAGTAACAAATGTGGATTCTGGGCAACTCAGTTTCCAAGAAAAGAACCTAGATGAACCAACAGAATTAGCTGAGCAAAGCTTAGAAGATGACTCTGACCAGTGACATACCCAGGGACAGCAACCCCAAAGGCCCACGCTGAAATGGCCTGGGAGGTCTTCCTGTTTCTTTATAATAACTACAAAACTTCTAAAATAGTAAGTGCCCTCCCTTAATACACAAGATGTTTGAAGTATGGGTACCAAAGTGTACAAAAAGCCCCTGTAAATATGCATGTGTACAAATACATACTTAAAATCTCAAACATTTGAGTAAAATGGGCTTTAAAGCAAACAAAAAATGGCCTCACAAGCTTACACATTAAATAACTCCATTCTGAACAAAAACCTGTTTGTAAGACCTATAAAAAAAGAGTTCCTGCACCTGAAACCTTGCTGTTAAATAACTTAGTGGATGATGTTACTGGACCTATAAAAACAGGGCCCAGGGAATCTTAAATGAAATTTTCAAAGGCTCAGATAATTAATTTTTTGTGGGTCATATGGTCAACGATTTAGTGTTTTGAAAAATATGCATGTAGAAACTGAAAGAAGGCTAAAAAGCAGTGAAAACTTGAGAAGTCAAAGGTCAAGTTGGCCAAGGTTTAAATATAAGCACTGAAGAGTCACTGAACTTCTTTTTGCCTCGGTGAAGGTGTCAGGGAATGAATGAATGAATGATGGGAGGTCAGAGAATAAATGAGTGAATATCACCAAGTGGCAATGAGTCCCAGACACTTACGCGGTTCCATTTCGGGGCCCGAAGGGAGCCCTATCTTCACTACTGACAGAGTAGACATCATAGCACTCTTTAATTTCATCTCTCAAGTCCTGGGGGATAGAGCAGGATCCATTTCTGACTCGGAGTTGCCGTATTCGTGGTACCCCTAACAACAGGTTCTCATAGAAGATGAAACTTCGGTTGTCAGCTTCAGTCTGGTTACTGGGCTGCATCTTCCAGTACAGCCCATCCAATAAGGAGCCTTCTGTGAACTAAAAGCACAGGAAACATCTCTGAAAAAGTTCCAAGCTCAGCTGCTGTCTTGCCCCTGCCTGGAACGTTTGCATAACCAAGCATTTGGCAACTCTATGAAAATAGTAGAGTGATAAGAATGAGTTTTGTCGTCAGAGAGATTTGGGATAGCATCTTGCCCCATCACTTGTTAGCTATGAGGCCTTGAGCAGGGTCCTCTGAACCAAGGTTCCTGCATCTGGAAAACCCATCTTTTATGTAGTCACTGCATCTGGCACAGAGTGGGTACTTAATACGTGGCAGCTCTGATTTGCATAGTTACTGCACCTGGCACAGAGTGGGTACTTAATACGTGGCAGCTCTGATTTGCATAGTTACTGCACCTGGCACAGAGTGGGTACTTAATACGTGGCAGCTCTGATTTGCATAGTTACTGCACCTGGCACAGAGTGGGTACTTAATATGTGGCAGCTCTGATTTTTGTTCTTGGACTAAAGGTGGGGTCATAATTAACTCCACTTCCCCTTATTAAAATAATGTCTCACATAATCATGGTTCTAAACTTGTTTAGAGAAAAGGCTACAGTTTTGATTACCAGCCTGGCATCTGATAGACCTTTCACCTGTCTGGACTATTTTGCTGTATGGTGAACTCTCCAATCCCTCCTTATCCCTTTAGAGATTGGCATTTATCATCATGGAATGTGTATACAAAAGTCTCTTGTTAGTTTGTACAACTAGCTATGCCTGTAGGGAAAACAGATCTATTTCTCAGTGTGCTATCCTTATCAGATGATCAACAGAGATAGACTGATTTGCCCTCTCAGATGGTGAAAGATTCATATTATACAAGTGTGGCTTTGGATGTCAAGTATTTTTGTATATGAATAGGTTCCTGTGACCCAGTTGTCTCTATCCTTAAAATCAATAGCTCTGACCCCAGGGTTTAGTAAGAATTTTAGAAACTATCTCCCTAAGGAGAAACAATAATTTCCTTTTCAATTTCCCTTCCAATTTTCTTAGATTCTAAGCCCCATATCCCTCAGATGAGTTTAATATTTTTCCTGTGGTATCACTCATTGCTATACTGTTAACTATGTTGGAATTTGGGAAGGGGCTGGACTGGGTTGAACTTCACAACAGCAAACCTTTTGTTTGTTTTTGGTTTTTTGTTTTTGTTTTTTTTTTTTTTTGGATTTTTTTGAAACAGGGTCTCACTCTGTTGCCCCGGCTGGAATGCAGTAGCATGGTCATGGCTCGACCTCAAGCAATCACTCAAGTGATCCTCCCACCTCAGCCTCCTGAGTAGCTGGGACTACGGGTGTGTGCCACCCCACCCTGCTAATTCTTTAATTTTTTTGGAGAGACAAAGTCTTACCATGTTGTGCCCAGGCTGGTTTCGAAATCCTGGACTCAAGCAATCCTCCTGCCTTGGCCTCCCAAAGTGCTGGGATTACAAGCGTGAGCCACCAAGCCCCACCAACAGCAGACCTTTGAAAGAATGTCCTTACTTTGTGTCAAGCACTGTTCTAAGAGCTGGGGATACATGCCATCATCAACAAAGAGACAAAATGCAAAAGGCGAAGCAAGACAGAAGAACCACACTGTCCTTCATTGGCCTTACATTCTAGGAGATTCTCAATAAATATTTATTGAATCTTGACTCATGGAACGAATTATAAACTAGGATGAAGAAGTAGCTGTCAGGCTAGAAAAAAATCGATTTTTCTTGTTCCCTAGCCATGTGACCATATGATTTAAGCATCCTGAATCTCATTTTCCTCATTAACAAACTAGGGCATACTCTTAGTACTTACCTTATAGAGTTACCATAGAAATTAAATTAGGTAAGGTATGAAACACTCAGCACAGTGCAAGGCACAGGCAAAGTTCTCAGTGTTAACTTTACCCCTCTTTGAGAGTAGGAACAGTAACTTCTAACAACTCACCATAACTTACGTCTCACACAGTGTTAAATGCAAAGCAGGTCCTGTCGATACTCATGCACTGAAATGATGAAGCCAAATGAAAAATTTTCTGTGATAAAGAGGTACTTTCAAAGTTATTTGCAAATACCTTCCAGAAGTCTTCCATGGAAGACAGAGTTTTAAAGTTAGTTTTCTCTGTTTTGGACACGGGGGTGTCTAGGAAGAGCTGTGACATCATCCGGGTGTAGTAGTACACATTGGAGCTCATCATGCCGTAGGTCACTGGAACACAGAAAGATCCAAATGAACGCCCCAAGGGAATCGGCACACATTCACACACCAGCAGCCTTCACGAAGGGATTGTTCCTATGGATAAACAGTTTGGACAAATATCCACAGAAGGTCTTCTCTCACCCCTGCCTTCCTTCCCCCTATCATTCTTCTAGGATATCTCCCTATCTCTCTGGCTTATAAAAGAAATATGTAATATTAATATTGGCTCATATGAAACAAAATTGGCTTACTATTGAGTATCAATGTAAGATCAGGAACGTTTACTTGATATTTGGGACTTCCAACATGCCTACTCAATTTCATCTTCCACCACCTCTCGGCTCAGATCCTCCATACCAGTGAGGCTGATCTGCACAAGGTCATAGCTATGCTGGGCTCCCCACCCTCCTGCTGTGCACACTGCCTACTCTCCCTGCAGTAACATGGGCAAGCCATTGTTTGTTTCCTCCAGATCAATTCTCCATTCTTCTCCGCCCTGTTCTGTGCCCTGAGGCTAACCTTTATGAACTGTACCAACTGGAATCCTTTGCCCTACGGGGATATCAAGGACAGAGTTTGTTCCCTCACCCCTGTTCTCCATACCCTCACCATCTGGATGCAGTTTGGCAGTGGAGACTCTAATCTTGGCCATGGGTGCTGAGGGAATCCCTTTTCTCACAACCACACTGGGCTCCCACTATGCCACTCCCTCCCCCAGTTCCCTAAAGCCTGGAGGTGGTAACTTTTTTTGAGTGCATCACTTCCCCTTTTTGGTTCTCTTAACCCCACCACATCTCTGTAAATAGTCCCTTCATTAAACTTCTCTTAATCACCACTTGAGTTCATCATCTCCTTTTTCTAAGATGCTGACTGACACAGACATATCTGCTTCCCACCTACCAGTCAAATCTTGAATGGAACCCTATAACTCGAACTACATCCCTGCCATGGACATTTACTGAATATTTTGAATGGTCTTGGAAGGAGGTGGGAAGATCCTTTACAAGCTTAGTAGACCAAAGGAGATCAAGGTCTGACTCCTGGCCATGCTCCTTACTTGCTATACAACCTGTGCAAGTTGCTTAAACTTTCTGAGCTTCAGTTTCCTCTTCAGTAAGATGGGGATAACCAACTATCCCATGGATTTTTTGGTGCCTAAATAAAAACAATAACTAAAATTTATCCAGTACAGTGGTTGACACTTAACAAATGTTCAATATGGTGGCTCTTCCTCCTTAACTGGATTGTTATAATGCATTTATTATAAATTTCAGCACTTTACCAAGTACTTTCTCATTCTGGACTTTAATGATTGCAGGTATAATATAATTCCTATAATTAGCTGATAAAACGTTTCAAGGGGAAGGAAACATGTTCTATGCTTTTTAAAAACTACAGTTCTGAATACCCACGATTAATACTTACCTGAAACTATAATACATTTCAGGGATCATCTTCAAACCTATAGAAATTATTTTGGGATTAAGAACTATTTAGCAAATCTCTCCTTCATGCAGCTGTCTTCTCCCCACTCTGCATTTTTCTTTCTTTTTTTTTTGAGACAGAGTTTCACTGTTGTTGCCTAGGCTGGAGTGCAATGGAGCAATCTCGGCTCACTGCAACCTCCACCTCCCAGGTTCAAGCAATTTTCCCACTTCAGCCTCCCCAGTAGCTAGGATTACAGGCATGTGCTACCATGCCCAGCTGATTTTTTATTTTTAGTAGAGACGGGGTTTCACCATGTTGATCAGGCTGGTCTTGAACTCCAGACCTCCGGTGATACACCTGCCTTGGCCTCCCAAAGTGCTGGGATTACAGGTGTGAGCCACCACACCTGGCCCCTCTTCCCCTTTCAAGCATCATAGGAAATTAAGATTATTTAAGAAGGGTAGGTAATAATCATCCAAACACGAGTGTGTTTGGGAGTTCATCTCAAGCAATCAATTAAGCAGTAAATACACATAATACACACAACTTGTATACTGTATCTAGAGACGTATGAAAAATGTCCAGTCCCCCTGGTTTGGCTCCCTCACCTGTCATCCTATAACCTAATGTAATTAGGACAAGAACAGTCCTCTTCAGGTGTTACATGACTTACTACCTCTCAGAACTGTCTTGCGACAAGAGTTAAGAGTTTAGAATTCTAATCCACTCATATTTATGGAACAAGGTATTGGGCATGAAGATGAACAAGATGTGATCTCTGCACTCAGAAGAGTTCATAGGGTCCCCAGCGAGTGCTGCCTAGCCAACTCCCACAAAGGATGCAAAGGATGGACATGAGTACACTGTCCTCTGCAAAGGCCTGTCAGTCTACAGTCAATCGAGGAGAGAAAGGGACATGACACAGGAGCAAGCAGTGAAGGCTGCTAAGAGCCAACCAAATAATTAAGTTGATTATTTTCAATTAACTTGGAATTGGAATGTACTTTGGATTGACTGATTAATATAGACTGTTGCGGAGTTTTTAACCTGTGGGTTTACTGTGGTTGTTGTTAAAAAGGAATTTTGATAAATTATTTACATATTTTTATTTATAAATATGGTATAACTATATATAAGTATGTAAATATAAGGATCTTAGATACTGAATTGAAAATGTATCCCTTTATTTTCCTAGACCACTCATAATCCAGTACTGATTTTTGCTTTTGAAATTCTCAAGATCTATATTGGCTTTAATAGCTTCACCAAAGGGCAAGCAACAGATTCTCTTGGTTATGTAGCACCATCTGCTGGACAGCCAGGTAAACAATACCTTCCAGCTTTGAAGGGATGATTACCGTACCTTTTCTTTCTTTTTTTTTTTTTTTTTTGAGACAAGGTCTGGCTCTATGGCCAAGGCAGGAGTGCAGTGGCACCATCTCCGCTCACTGTAGCCTCAATCTCATGGGCTCAAGTGATCCTCCCACCTCAGTTTCCCGAGTACCTGGGACTACAGGCATGCACCGCTATGGCCAGCTAATTTTTAAATTTTTCGTAGAGATAGGGTTTCGCCATGCTGTCCAGGCTTATCTCAAACTTGTGAGCCCAAGTGATCCTCCCTGCTCGGCCTCCCAAAGTGCTGGGATTATGGTCGTGAGCCACCGCACCCAGCCTTAACAGATATTTAATCAGCAAACATTAACTCAGTCCTTCTGTGCCAGGTCCCAAGGAAGTTCATGGCACACCTGAGTGACAGCTCACAAACTCTGGTGGTCAGCTACACCATGAGCCCATGCAGGTGGCAGCTAAAAGCCCCCTGAATTTGGAGTCATACTGATTTGGTTTTGAGTTTCAGCTTGCCTCCATCCTGAACATCTGCCTCTGTTCATGATGGCGGGTCTTGCATCTTGAGATCTTGGACAACTATTTAACTCTTCTAAGCCTGATTTTGGAAACCAGAAAATGAGAATAATACCAAGGGCTTTTGTAAAGCTCAAATGGAGAAATATATGTGAAGACATTTGCACACTGTAAAATGCAATGGAAATATAAAACTGTTAACATCACTTCTCCTTTAAGTCCCTGAAAGGAAACTGGAGAAAGCCCACTTGAAGGTAGCATTCACTCTCTAAATGAAATGAATTGTGAAGAAAAATTTAGTGCATGAAATAGATAACCTTAAATGAGGACCAGAAAGGAGACAAGAGTATTAAAAAATACATAAAGGACACATACATCTGCATATATGTACACATCTTTCTTCTGCTATTTAATCCTTGTCTTAACCCCTGAATTTCCATTTTCCATAAAATAAACTAGAGCAAAATACAGTAAAACACAGTATTGGCCAGACACGATGGCTCACACCTGTAATCCCCACACTTTGGGAGGCCGAGGTGGGCAGACCGTTGAGCTCCAGAGTTTGAGACCAGGTTGGGCAACAGGGTGAGACTGCACCACTGCACTCCAGCCTGGGTGATAGAGCGAGACCTTGTCTCAAAAACTTAAAAAAAAAAAAAAAAAGAAACTATCACCAAACAACCAGCATGTGAACTAACAAAAGCTGCCTTAAAAACATGGTCTATCATTTCAAAATAGCAACAAATACTATTTTATTGTTAATATTGTTGAAAAATATAGGTTCAAATATTAAAAACAAATAAAGGGTATTGTAGAATAGTATATATTACATAAATTCCAAATCATTAGGATAAAAAAGCAAAGAAAAAATTTCCATCCAGCAAAAGAATATAAATGGAAAATAACAGGAACATATGAAAGAGAGGAAAATACTAAATAATATTAATTTGACAAAAAAAACCATGAAACTTGAATGGTTTAGACTCTTACTAAATGACAAAGTTTTAAATATTGGTTAAAAAATAAAAATGCATCTCTAGAATTGTTAGAAGAAACCCGCTCAAAGCTAAAAATAAATGAATGGGAAAATATATCAGGGACAAAATATTTTTTAAAAGGTTTTAAGTGGTATTATAATCCTCTGACAGAGGACATTATAAGGTGAACACTCAGTTTGATTAAAAGGTTATTTTACATTGGTCAATTATACTGTACATAATGACTAAACTGTAATGAATTCTTATGTATTGAATAACAGAACATCAAAATATATAGAGCAATACCTGTTAGTAATAAAAGAATTATCAAAACTACAATTGCAGTTGGAAACTTAAAACCCTGTATCTTTCAATCTTTGACAGATAAAGTAGACAAAAATTACCTAGGAATATTAAGGGTTTGAATTAAGTATATGACTTGACATAGATATATATATGTGTTAAGAGATTAAATTTTTTCCCTCTCTTAATAACCCTTGGGCCAAAGAAGAAATCAGAGCTGCCATAAAAATATAACCGTATTAGATGCAAAGACAGTAGAACCAAGATGCCTTGGCCACAGTATTTCAGGTAATCTGCCACAAGATGAAGCTATCACTTTGCACAGGAAAACGAACTGCTTTGCTAGCTGTGTATTATATGATATCCTCACAGGGATGCAGTGGAAATAAAATGCAAACAAACATTTGAAGGGACTCTATAAACTCAAAGTGCTATACAAGA